ATTCTACTTGCCACTAATGATATAGGCATATTGCACGAAACCAAGAAATTTTTATCAAAGAATTTCGAAATGAAAGATCTTGGTGATGCGTCTTTTGTATTAGGAATTCAGATACACCGAGATCGATGTCCGGGTATTTTAGGATTATCACAAAGGATCTATATCGAAAAAATTCTTAAAAGGTTTGGCATGCATGAATGTAAATCCGGGGATACTCCAGTTGCTAAGGGAGACAAGTTTAGTCTCAATCAGTGTCCAAAGGAAAATTTAGAAATTGAGGAAATGCAAAAGATTTCCTATGCATCAGCTGTTGGGAGTTTGATGTATACCCAAGTATGTACGCGTCCAGACATGACATACATAGTTGGAGTTCTAGGCAGATATTTAAGTAATCCAGGAATGGACCATTGGAAAGCAGCAAAAAGGGTCATGAGATATTTAAAGAGAACAAAAGATTACATGCTCACATACAGGAGGTCAGATCAGTTGGAGATCGCTGGGTTTTCTGACTCGGACTTTGCAGGATGTCAAGATAGTTTGAAATCCACTTCAGGTTACATTTTCATGTTAGCAGGTGGTGCGGTTTCTTAGTGCAGTGTCAAGCAAACCCTTATAGCTTCATCCACTATGGCAGCAGAATTTGTAGCATGCTATGAGGCGTCGAATCATGGAATATGGCTGAGAAATTTTGTCACAGGGCTGCAAATTGTGAAAGACATTGAAAGACCACTTAAGTTATATTGTGACAACAAATCAGTTGTATTGTATTCCAACAACAACAGAAGTTCGACTAAGTCAAAGCACATTGACATTAAGTTCCTAGTTGTTAAGGAAAGAGTACAGAGTGGACAGATTTCCATAGAACATTTAGGGACAAACTCCATGATAGCAGATCCTCTAACTAAAGGACTTCTGCCCAAGGTCTTTCATGAGCATGTTGCTCACATGGGTGTTTTACAGTTTGAGGAATTTGTGATTTAGTGGGAGTCAGTCATTTTCATATATTTTATGTTCTATGTTTAATTTCATGTATGTATACAGTGATTTTTTGGACATATTTGGTTATCTATAGATATGCAGTTTTTCATTCATTCATTACACTTTATACATTAAGGTTATTATATCGATCTCGATAAGTTAAATTTTGGACCAGTTGAAAATAGACGTGTACAGATCACCTTCACGTAATTTTTCATGCTACACATTTCATGATGAATTCATGTCATTTGGTTATGTCAGGATTAGTAATCATTGTTGGTTTTAGTTGCGATGATGCAATGAAAAACTGGTTTGGTTCTATATCTTGATATGATCAATGAACATGACTTTTGGAATATGCTAAAAAAATATAATGACAATTTTGAGCTCATAAAGTCTAACACATTTGTAAGGTTGTAAGGACATATATATTTGTGACCAGTGGGAGATTGTTGACAAATTTTTGGTCATGTATATATATGATACATAATTTAAATGTGTTATGGTCATTATTTATTAAGCCAAATAATAAAGTGATCTAACTAAATTAAAGTTTTGGCTAAAGGCATATGTCATGAAAATAAAATTATGTAGAGACCATAGAGTAATTTCTAATTTGATGAGGGGCCAAATTGGAAATACTAAAACTTAAGTAATTAACCTAATTCTGGTTATTTAAAGGGTCATGGTCCCTTCTGGGAGCACACACATAAAATGTAAGTTTCAGTCCCGTTATTTTCTTTCTATCCCCATCAAGAGAGAAAATCCAAAGGAAAAATACAGTGTTCTCTCCAGGTGGAAGACTATAAGATCAAAAGTACTCTACAAATGATATCATTATTATGACTAATTCAGGTATGCTTTTGCATTCAGTTTACAACATGTTTATGAATATGAGATTATATTTATATTTGATAGTTAGAATGAAGATCATAATTAATTACAGCTTTATCTATCAAAATAAATTATGATTTTTCTTTTATTGATTTTTTTTCCTAAGCAAAACGTTTAAGGATAAAGATTGAATCTAATCATTAGACCTGTAAGAGACATATATATATATATATATATATATATATATATATATATATATATATAAATCACTATAATATGTTTAATAATCAAATAAACTAATTAATTTGCAAAAAAAATTAATGAATAAATAAATATGACACTATCACGAAAGTGGAAATTATATATCTTCATATCAGGAAAAGAAATATAAATTAACTCACATTCAAAGAAATTTAGCAGAGTATTATTATAAACAAGTTTGCGAAAAAAAATTATGTGAAATATAATCCTGGTTTTTTTTCTCCCTAAATAAATATTTAATTTTATTTACTGTTTTTTTTTACCTGGTAATTACATAACAAAACATTATATCTTATGAAATTAATAGTATTACTTTACGACAATTGTATTCTTACTAATTTTAATCTATAAACTTTTTAATAAACTTAAAGTAATTCTCGTATTGAGATAGAGTGAAATTCCTCTAAAACGTGGACCTAATCCGTAATCATCCTTAACATTTTTATTTAGTACAACGGGCACAAGATATTGAAATTAGTAATAATGTGTAATTATTTTGGGTAAAAATAAAGTGAGCAAAAATATAATCTATTATTTATTTATCTATCTTGATTTTTTTAATTCCTTATTTTTTATTGGACTATTTTTTTAAAAATGGTTGGAGGAATTGGTGGTAGGCGAAAAGGACGTATATATAGTGACCCTTTAAGCATGTTTTGGTTTACGATTCTAACTTATCAATTGTGGAAAGTTTAGGACCACCATTGAATTAGTGAAACCCAGCTATCGCAATCGAGCATTTATATCAGAATAATTAGCGAGAATTGTATTGATTCACTTGAAAAACAATTTTGGTATTAAAAAAAATTAAAAAATAGTAAGAAAAAATGATTAGCAATGTTTTGGTTTTATAAAAATGCTTTTTAAATAATTGTTATTTTGGGAAAACGTAGGAGACGAAAATATAAAAGACAATACATTGAAGGAGAAATAAGGACACATTTGACGACAGCTTAGTGTAATTTGGTGGTTGTGGGTGTGGAACATGAAGCACGCAATGGTCACGTGATGCCATGTGGGCAACACAACATTTTATTTGTAGGGTCTTCCCATGACATTAAGGTTTATTGACGATGATGTTTGAGTGGAGATAGAAAATTACCATTCATATTTACTAATGTTAATATTATCTTTAAAAAACTATATCATAATCAATTATTAATTATTTATATATTAAAATATAATCTCTTATGCATAGATTTTTTTAAAAAGTATTTTCTTAGACACTAATGGTAATGACTTTTTTCTCGAAGGTAGTCAAAATTCCACCAAATCAATAAAGTCGTATCTTCAATATTTAAAAGTTTAATCGAAATTGGTTTGTTTTAATTAAATACTGTTATTTTATTAATATAATATATGAGGCAGTTTATCCATAAATTTATAAAAATTAAATTTAAATTTATTGAGAAAAATCATTATATTTAACAGAAATAAGTTACATAATAAAAAAATATATAATATGAAAATCCAACTACAATAAATGGAATTCTTTGATAATTACGATTTTCTTAAAAATCAATTATAAACAAATATTTTTTTTTTAACTAAATAGTTGAACCTTTCAACCATTTTTTCATGACTGATTAAACTTATTACAGTTTAATTAAAATATATTATTTTTTAGAAAATTTAACAAAACAATACTCGATTTTAGTTTTAGTCTTGACAAGTATACATGTGTGTAAGTAAGTGGTCCAACTTTCAAATATTTTAAGTGATATCTTATAAAACATGTCAGATATATTCTATTAAATACTTAATTTCTTATAATGTGAATATTAAAATAATTTTATAAAATAATATATTTTTCGTTTGTTTTTGCATCTGCTGAGTCATGATGCCATAACTATTGCGCTCTACTAATTACATAAAAATATATAATACAAAGTTGAACATGTAATTTGGTTTTAAGATCATTAAGATAACAAAGTGAGGGTATTTTATATATTTTCATGATGCATAATACCCTAAACCCTAAAGTATAATATATACATTTTTTAATATTTTTTCTACAACTAAATATAAAAATATGTGGAAAAAGAGGGTACTTAAATACTCAAATTACTGAAACTTTAATTAATTTAACAAATTTTGGTGCGTTATCGTGAGCCGCAAAATTGAATAGAAGATATTTAACTAGTGGCTAAAACTACTCTGAATGTTGAGAACTTAAAACAAAAATAACTAGCATTCCTTAAAAAAAAAAAAAATATATATATATATATATATACACACACACAAAACAGAGCAGCCTCTATCTGCCAGCAATGTCTCCAACACACAAGGAATTTCGTGATGTGAACCTTGGTGCCAACAAACAATTCTTCCATTCATTCTCTTTAGATTTATTGCTTTTTTTTCTTTGTCAATTTTTGTTCTCTTGCTTTTTTTTGTTACAGAGTATTAACATATCGTTTAAAGGACAAATTCTGAGGTTTGTATAGAACTGAAGTTCGGAAGAACCTATGCTTAAAATAAATAAAAATCTTGAGACAAAATGAAATATTAACTAAGTGATAATAATATATAAATGAGAATAGAATTTATTTAAATTAATTTTATGAGATTAAATTAAATATTGTTTTATTTTTAATATATTATTAAAGTCAATTTTTAATTTATAATCTAATGTTAGAAGTCAATCTTATTATTAAAAAAATATTTTTCATGTAAGGGAAATGACAAAAATATCTTATTCATAATATATATATATATATATATATATATATATATATATATATATATATATATTTAAATAAATTATCTTATAAAAATTGGTTGGTGGTCCAACACTACTCATAATATATCCTTTGACACAAACATGTGTGTGTATATATACCCTTTCCACCTTTAGTTTTCCTCGACAACCAAACACATTTTCCCCTTTTGTTTTCTGCATTTTGTTTCTCTCTCGCTTAAATAAAATGTCTGGGGTTTGGGTATTCAAGAAAGAAGGGTTTCGTTTAATGGAAAATCGTAAGGCAGAGGGGAAGACATGTAGTTTAAGGAGAAAGGTGTTGGTTTACTTGCCAAGCGGTGAAGTGGTCTCTTCCTACACTTCATTGGAACAAATTTTGATGAGTTTAGGGTGGGAGAGGTACCATGGAAGAGACCTTGAATTGTACCAATTTCACAAGCATTCTTCCACTGACCTAATTTCCCTTCCAAAGGACTTCTCCAACTTCACCTCTGTTTATATGTATGATATAGTCATCAAGAACCCTAATGTCTTCCATGTAAGGGATATCTGACCCCCTCTTCATTCTTCACTGTAATGTCTATGCATACTCTTTACTCCACCTTACTTCATATACAAATCTTAGAAATACTCTTTAAAATATTTAACCTTTCGCTCATCAAAATAACATGATAAACAAAGTGTATTTTTAACTAAATTTATGTCATTTTATTTCTTATCCTATTTGCTAAAAGAGAAAGAATTATATTAAAATAACCAAATTCAGTGGGTTTTATCCACGTAATGTAATGTAAGAGAAATAAATGGAATATTTCATCTTTTTTTACTTTTTATATATATGTATTATTAATCATTATCTACCTAACACTTACAAAACGATAACTAATTGCACAAATTTGTTGAATAAAAATGGTCGGAAATAAACAACTTTGTATCCGAAGAAAGTGAAAGGTCGTGCTCCATGTGAAGCGAATTGCACGTGGGCCATGGTCACTATCAGATAGGGGTCGTGCCACGTTTCAATGAGTCATATGAAAATGAAATCGTCTATTTTCTGTTTTCTTTTTTAATGAAATTCCGAGTAAATTTTTTCTAATGATATTTACCATATCACGAAATGTGAGAATAAATGTTTTTTTTTTCTATAAAATGAGGAATGGAGTTTTCAAATTAAAATAACATATACCATGAGGAAAGGAAAATAATTAGAACTCTATACATTCATTCAGTTTCCTAATTTACATAATAATAACATGACATGCGTGTAAAATATATATATTATGAATTTTATTTATATTTAATATAAAATTTGAGAAAAAAAAGATAAATGTGTAAACAGTCAAATATATCTGACAAAGTATTTAGAAGAAAAGTTGATAAGATATATTTAAAAAAGGAGGTTCATAGGTTCAATGTCGAATATGAAATATAATTTATTTCATATTATTTTTTTAATAATAATAAGGAAATAATTAATATTAAGCAAACTTTGAGTAGGGATGAAAATTAAATTTATATCCGCATATACCAATCTGTCTCATCCCGAGTTTGACAGCTAAAAATCGAATTAATGAAAGTGGAAACAAATTCGGGTTTTTTCCGCTTTAAAAAGTCGAACGAGGATGAATAATGCAATTCCACCCTAATTTCGTTCCTGTCTTGACTTTATATTTAAATTTAAATTTTAAAATATTATTATTTTAAAAGTATTTTTTATTATATATAAAGTACTTTTTATATATATATTTTACTATTTTTTTCTATCCACTTTTTTAATTTTTTTAACCTTTTATATTAATTATTTCATTACATTATTATCTTTCTTTTACATTTAACTTTTCCATATTTTCTTAATCTCTCCAATTATTTTTTTTAATCTTTTCAACCAATTTGATAAATATAAAATTAAATTTTCTTATTTTTTTATTTTTTTTAATATTTTACATAAATATTAGTAGTAACTAATATTATTTTATTTATATTTTATCTTTATTATTTTTTATTATGTCATATTTTTTAGATCTTATTATTCTTATTTCTCATATATTAAATTTTATCTTAATAAAATAATTATATTTTAAAGAATTAAAAAAAATTTAAATTTTTATTACTTTAAACTAATTAAATAAGAACTAACCTATTAAATATTTTCTTATAAATTATATATTTTATATTTTTAAATGAAAATTTAAATAGAATTAAAATCTATAATGAAATGTTGAATATATTATAATAATAATGTTATAACTATTTAAATATTTGAATATAATATTATAATAATAATAATAATAATATTATAAGTATTTTACATTTATATAGAAAAAATTATTAAATATTTTTTACATACATATTTTAATATAAAATATAATAAATTGAAATATATATTTAATTAATAATAATTATAAATTATAAATATTTATTTACGTAAAAAAATACATAAAAATAATAAAATCAATTTATTATAAATATAATTTCTTAAATTTTATTTACGTAAAAAAATACATAAAAATAATAAAATCAATTTATTATAAATATTTTTTTAAAAAATAATGTAAATTGGGATTGGGCGTAAGTTTAAATGTAACATCCCGATTCTCAATATCCTCGGTTTGTTAAATTTTGACAAAATCTTTGTCAAAATTTTAATAATTAAATTATTAGGAATTGGGTAAAGAAACTGTAGAGTTTTATGTTTGTTAGATTATTTGTGTTTTTCTAGAAATTTTCTGAATTTTTAGAAAATACTTAAAATTGATCCTTTCAGCGAGCAACTGGATGCTTGATAGTAATTATATGATTTAGGGTTGAAATTGAAAGAGTATGGACTTAACAATTTTAATTGTCACATTTAGAAATTATTGTCTTCTTGTATGCATTGAGTGTGGGTACATTAAAACTTTATTATGTGTATAAATTGACAAGAAATATATGATGATTGATATGGTTTTGAGTGATGTTTAAGTCTTAGGGGTTGTGGGTTCAAATCCTGGCTGGAGAAAATGAGGGTAAATTTGTTTGTAATGTAATCCGCTGGGCGCATCAGAAATGCGCTGAGCGGATTGCGTTTGAAATCTCTATTCCTTACGGCCTATAATCCGTTGGGCACAACAGAAATGCACTGAGCGGATTATTAGGTGAAAATTTTGACTTTTAAAAGAAAGAGTACCGTTCTGCGAGTTTTTCTCGTAGGTTCCTCGTTTCTCTCTTTCTCTCAAAACTTTCCTTACCTTTAAGCTTGATTTTGAGGGAAAAATCTTTGTTTTCTTGAGGAGCTCCAAGAGGTAAGTTTGTTTCTCTCAATCTCCTCTACATTTCTACCGTTTTATTTTTCAAAACGGTGCATTTTCTATTTTTCTCCTCACTTGGCTCAACTTGAATGGGTGTAGGAAGAATGTTATTGTAGATTTTACACCTAGAATACTAGAATAATGCTTAAAATTGAGGATTAAAAGTGGTAAAGCTAAGAACTTTAAGAGCCCTAATTCGTAGGTACTATTTATTGAATTTTTGGGACTTGTGTGAACAGAATTAGGAATTGGTATCTTCATGAAAGTTGTATCTCTTTAAGTTGTCGAAATTTATAAACTGATTTCACATTAAACGGATATTTATAGCTTAAGTTATGCCCATTTTACTATCAAGTGTTCTAGTTGTGACGTTAAGAGGTAGCCCTGTTTCAACAACCTAGGTTTTTGAATTATTGAGATTGATACGTGTGAAATTAGGACTTGATTCCTTCATAAAAGTTGTATAAAATTATATCCCCAAAATTTAGAAATTTATTTCATGTTAATATCTTATGTGTAGCAAGAGTTATAATCCAATTACCAAGGCATGTTCAGAGTGTTATTGTAGTTGGGCCTAGTTGGAAACAACCACTGAAAACTGAAAATTGCATCTATTCTATAGGGTATTTGAATTTATTTCCTTCATCAATATTGTAGGTAATTAAGTTATTGAAATTTTGGCTCAAATCTCATGCCAAAAAAGCTTATATAACTCTAGAAAATTTAGAAATACTAAACCTTATTCATGTTTTCTATTAGGATTTTTCCTACTCTAAGTGTATACAAAATAGGATAATTTTCTAAGTTAATTGTAAGCTGAATGTGAGCTTAAAATATTATTAAAAATGGATTAACAATATAGAGTGAATTTAAATTCTCATGAGATAGAATCATAGAAATATAAGATTCTAACTAGAATTTTATTACGTATATAGAATTTGCTGAAATACAACATAAAGCTTTGAAAGGAATAAGTGTGAACGTATCAGGTAAGGGGTGAACTATATAGTAAGGATTACATCATAAACTTGTTTGACCTTATTTGTTAAATTTGTCTAAATTTGTTATGATTGATAATTGTGATTTCATTATATGCTTGGTTGTGAAAGTGATAATGAATTGCTTACGTGTATGATGGTGTAAAATACATGTTTGATACTCTATTATGATATGTATTGTCTTTGAGTGAGCATTTATATGCATGGTGGTTTTTCATGAGAAAATTCATTGAAAATTAAATTGAAAGAATTGGATGATGGGTTGTGAACCCTTTTTGAACTGTATTGGAAGTTTTCGCTTGTAGCAATGTGATTGGAAATTTTTGGGAAGTCCGTATTACAGGGGAAACTCGTCAAAATTTTTGGAAAAATGTGAATTTCTAAGAAAAACCACTTAGGGACTCATACACTACTCATTTGAAAATGGTGATTTGTGAAATCTGGGAATCGGAGATTATGGACTCGAGAATACGATAGGGAGGCCCCGAGGGAGGACTTGAGGATAGGAAGGGTAGTGGTTGGAGGCCCCAAAAACCCGGGCTCGCTACCCGTTGTCGGGGATCCCACCTGTACAAACTCTCATGTACTCGATCGTGCTCTTACCGTATATTAATGATCGGTGAGCTACCGAGTTTATATTTGAGCATGGGTCTCAACAATCCCGTGGGTGGATTTTCCATGCCTAGTAGTGTCAACTCCTGGCTACCCAGATCTTGATTTGAGAAATGATTCAGGTCGCATGCATAAACATTTTAGAAAACATATTAGGATCATGCATCATTAACATCAATCATTTGGAATTTGATTGACTTGTGAATGTTTATGATGTTGATTTTAAAATGATGTATGAACTCGTTGCTCACCCTCTTGTTTTTCTGCTTTCTTTATTTCCTTTGTGCTTGCGGTACTCGTTGGACCTGATCGGTCATTGTTTGAAGAGAGGGGAGATGACACAGATTCCACACCTGATGAATATGACACTCGTACTCATTAGCTGGGAGCCACAATGATGGCAACATGTATTGGGATAAACATATCTAAACTTTTATAGACAGTCTTTTGTAGTATATAGACCTACATGGTACTGAGTAGTAGTTACTCTTTTATGTAGTTAGTTGTTCTGTAGGAAGTATCCCCAATGTTGCCCTTAATATTTTGGAGGACTGTATTAGTATTTTATCTATATGTAATTATGAATGTTTACCCTTAATACTTTTTAAAATGATGAAATGCATGAATGAGTATTGAAAATTTATGTATATTAATATTACGTACAAGGGAAAGATTATTATCGATTAAAAAAAAATCTGCTAAAAATTATTAATTCTTCTGATTGAGGGTTTATAAGGTAGGGTGTTACACTAAACCCAACAAAAATCGATGATAGGGATAAGAATGATTAAAAAAATCAGGATCGGATAAACAAAACTCATCCCCGTCTTGTTGTCATACCTAACTTAATAAAAAAAATTATAAATTATATATATTCTAAATTTATATTTGGTAAAGTGTTTTTATCATTAGAGTGTCTTTTTTTAACAATTTTAATTGACTAATTTGTACTTTTGTTTTTTAGCTTATGAATTGAAATTTGTGAACGATTTTTGTTTTTCCAATGTTACAAACGGATTCCAAAAATATGGTATTAGTCTTAATATGAGAATTATGAAATAAAATAAGAGTTTAGAAGTCTTCTTAGATGAAGGGATATCTTCTACTAATTAATCCAATGGAAGTTTAATTTATTAACATAACTCACCCAAATGTATTCCCCTTTCATTTATCACGCAATTCAAAACCAGATTTTAAATAATTGAATATCATGTCACACAACATATATATTCATGTTGGGTGAGAATTTTATCAATACTCAATTTACTAAAACCATAAAATGGAAAGTTAAATGGAATGGGTGAAATATTTGGAAACTTATAAGGAATGATGTTACCTAAATTTTATAACCAATAATTTATCACACCCCAACAAATAATAGGTATGTATTAAAATTTCACATGGAGTACTAGATTATAGTATATAACCGAAATATAAATCCAGGAAAGTCCCACATAAATTTTCTTTAATTTCGAAAAATATCCCTTTATCTTTTCCTTTTATTTTTCTATTATTTCAATTTGAGAGAAAATGTGTTCTTACTTGTTCTGTTTTTCTATTTTTAAGAGAGAAATATTATTGTTTTCTTGTTAAATTTATAGAAAAAAACTATTGTAATGTTTTAGATTTTTTTTATTTATTGTTTTTTATTTATTTATTTATCATTTCTTAGTTTAGCTACAAATCAGTAGTTTGTCATTGTGATGCCTAACAGTAGAATTATAGTCACCAAATTGCTGTTTGGAGAAATTTGTGTACAAAATTGTTTAATTTTAAAAATTAAAAAACTAAATATGTATTTAAATTTTATAACAATCTAAATGATACGAGAATTAAAGTTTATTGAAACCTTTAATTTTTGTTTAAAATCAAATTATTTTGAATATTTAAAATTTTTCATATTTCTCCTAAATTTAAATATATTTTTATTTTAATAATATATATATATATATATATATATATATATATATATATATATATATATTTTTTTTGGTCTAAGTGACCTACGGATTACAAGGTTATAATTACTAATTCGTTGCTGAGTTCGTGGCCACCCCTTTGACTAATGCTAATACAGGAAAAGGGCATTTACGTCTCTAACAGCAATCTGCGTCCACACCAACCTAACCTACGATCCTTACACCCTCTGTCACTTTGACTCAACTCACACATCAATATCAGGTTACCTTCAACCTCATATCAATCTCACTTTTCTCCGTTCCCACATTTACTTTACTTTTCTCTCCACTTCCATTTATGTTTAGCTTGGTTATATCTGGGACCAGTTGACCTTTAAGTTTTCCCTCTAAATACAAGTAATTTTCTGCTGCCATTTTATTCATTTTAATCTCGTAGTTCTATGATTTATCGGCGTACTTTTTGTTTCGGGTTTTATTGTTAAGTTGGTCTACTGCGTTATTCTTGTCTTGTTAATTAGGGATCTTATGTTGATCTGATTATTTTATCCGATATAGATGTTTTTGTTAATTATCCACTAATTTGTTAGTGTCAACATGTTGGGGATGTGGGTTTCATTCTCATTGGTGTTTTTCTATAATATCAGAAGTGGGTGATATATATTGTACTTTATGAGCTCTAGATACCCTTCTGTGGTTTTTCGATTTCGTCTGCAGATCAGGTTTCGTTAATCAGTAAGTGTTAGAGTACCTGTTGACCACATTTTCATCTGGAATTTTGAGTTTAGACAGATTAAATTCCTGAAAATTGCCTTTCCAGCCTGTGGGCATAAGGTTGTTTACTTCTTCTACCTAGTGCGAGCATACTAAATCAGGCCATCCATTTATTTGTTGTGTTGATAATTTAGGATTGTTTGTGTCGAAAAGTGAAAATCCTTGATTGAGTGGGGTGGGGGGATGGAGGAGAAGGGGCTCCTTGTTTGGTCCATTAGGGGAGGAAATAGAAAAATTGGCAACCAGGTGCTATAAAGCTCCCACGAAGTCTATGGAAGTGTCAGACTCTTTATGGATCCATTTTAGGCTGCCTTGCATTTGCAAGAGGATGATTTCATGATACCTGCAATCACATGGAAGCAACTCTAACCATTGCAACAATTTAGAGAGGAAAGAAAAAAAAAATTATTATTATTCACTCACAGCAGACCAATAAAAATCATTAAACTCAAGTATTCAAGCTAAGGACAATTAGTTTGTACAGTCAACGAACTTTTAGTATTTTCCTCTCCTTTAACTCTCCCTATATTTGAAGGGAGGGCAAAAATGGGTTGGAAGGGATTTTGGCCCCCTTGTTTTTGTTACGAGTTCCAAATTGAGTAGGATAAGCCTTGAGATTTTCTCACCAAATAGACTTTTGAGTTGGACCCTCCTCTTTTGCTTCAGTCCTAACAAATTATGTTTTCGTTGAGAGTTGGGCTATATGGAAGGGGCTACTCATAGACTAGATAAAGGTGCAAACAGAATACAGATAGATGACAATGTTAGGAGTTCCATACCGAATAAGATAAGTTACTTGATGTGTTACTTAACCCATCTAATTGATTAGTTTTGATTGGCTCTCCTCTTGTATTTAAGTCCTGTTAATCTATTCTCCTATCCCTTCCATTTTCCTCAAACCAAACACTATATTACTGTTACAATTAATATTCTTATTGTGTTTATATTTTCCCTGCATTTAATTTTTTTAAAATTGTGTTTACTATATATACTTGTGTGTTGTTGGTTCTAAGCTAAATTCAAATTTTGTCTTCTTTTCTTAGGTTTGATCTGAAATCCAGGATTGCTCCTTAGGTTACCAAGTTATCATCAACATAATTGGCAAGCGAATAGTAAAGGAGCATTTAATAGACTGATACAAAAAACACTACTGATTATTTATTATTTGATGTAAGTGGCCTGTGTTTGTTTTTAGATTTTGGGATAGTGTAGTCCAAGTATCCAACATATAGCATGGAGGATATTCTGTTGGATACCAGCTGGGAACACGTAATCTGCCCCATATGCTTGGAAGTTCCTCATAATAGTGTTCTCCTTCAGTGTTCATCTTATGATAAGGGGTGCCGTCCTTTTGTGTGTGACACAAGTCAATTGCACTCAAATTGTTTGGATCGTTTTAAAAGCACACGGGGCACGCCATCCACTTCAATAAATGACTCAACCTCTGAAATGTCCGATGCAAATTCCATGACAAATAGTGAGTCAGTGGTATCTGATTGTCAATACAAGCTGTGTTGTCCCTTGTGTAGAGGTGATGTTTCTGGGTGGATTATTGTTGATAGAGCTCGTGCGCATCTTGATGAGAAAAAGCGTTGTTGTGATGAGCAACAATGTGCATTTATTGGAAGTTACTCCGAGCTACAAAAACATGCTCAACTGAAACACCCTCATGCTTGTCCATCGAAAATTGATCCTGCCCGGCAGCTTGATTGGGAAAATTTTCAGCAGTCATCTGAGATCATAGATGTTTTGAGCACTATTCATTCAGAAATTCCACGAGGAGTGGTTTTGGGAGATTATGTGATTGAATATGGGAATGATGATAGTGCAGATGAGTTTGAGGACTTCCCTGGAGATGAAGGTAACTGGTGGACCTCTTGTATTTTGTATCATGCCTTCAATAACTTTAGAAGTTCCAGAAACCGAAGAAGGACAAGAGCTGGTGATCCTAATAGGGGTAACCGCCGTTTAAGTTCTGATACTTCAAATTCTGATGAAGGTTCTGTAGCTTCTGTAGAGTATGGCGAGTATAGGCTGGACGAGACTGATGATGATTTTGATAGTACAATGGGGCCCTTGAGGGGTGGCAGTGGTTTTCGCAGGTGGGTAGTACTTTTCCATCATTTTTATTTTTCAGTTTTGACATTCTATGCTTGTCTTTCTGTTTAATTTTTACGTGATTTTAAGGGCTAAACGAAATTATATGAACCTTTCTTGGCAAAAGCCCACGCAGATGACTTTTTTTCTTTGCTTTTGTATTGAAGATCACTATGATATGTATCAATCTTCGTCTATCTAGAATCATATTCTCTATATTTAGACCTTTAAATGTTAATAATCTGATTTAACATCTTGAGAGGATCTGTCATTAGCATTGCAGCAAAGGATATATTATTACACATAGCCAAAGCATACTAACTTGAAAACAGGATCTCAATTATTTATTAATTACTAGCAATCTGGTATGTGTGGTTGTTATAGCTGTGCATTTCGTAATGCCCATTTTTTGTTATTCGATGGCTATGTACTTCCTATCGTATTTTCCAATAACGGTGGGCTTTTTATACTGTCTTTTCTTTTGGATTTTGATCTTAGAAGCTAGCCATCCAGAATGGCTAATTTCTTATAGCCTTTAAGGATGAGATATCAACTGAATTTAAATAATTGCACATTATCATTTATCCAGAATTGAACGTGATTTGGCAATTAATATTGAGATTTGAGAATGACTGTGTTTGATATTTTTTATTACACTGACAAGACAACTTTGTTGTGCTCAAGTTAATGTAATATCGTTATATTTTAACACTTTAAGCTGTCCAATTTGCAGGTCGAGGAGACGTCATTCTCGCTCCAATTACAACTAGGTACGTTACGTCGACAAGTAACTTTCATTGTCCTTTTTGTTATTGTTCAAGTTTGTGACAACCTTACACTGGATGCTGATAGTATATTTCTCTGACTTGCTTGAAGTATGAGGTTGTGGTGGTGAGAAATTGGTATTTTGAGCTCTTTTTTTCATTCCCTTTAACCTACTTACTAATTTTCTAAGTCTTCAAGCAGATACACTCAAAATGAAACCAGTGTGATCTTGATGTAGCTGTTGTGACTACTTGCAAAGGTTACATTTAGGTCATCTAATGCATTTGCGATGAGATGAGTTGAAGTACCAACATAAGAAAATTGACGGTTTAATTTGGAAAACACTCCCAAGTTTCCTTATGCTAGCCATGTGAAGCCTGTTAATTGACTCACAAAAGTGATTCCGCTGGCATTATGCGCTACTTAACTGTAGCACAATGAATTACTTCTTTTGCTTGTACATATAACTGCTTAGTTGTCATGTGTTAGAATGACTCGAGTAGGATCTTTCCATGTTACTTAAAAATACTTTGTATTTTTGCCTCTCTCTCATTAGTGATCCCCACATGAATACTTTAGGGTTCATGTGGATTAGATTTAAAAATAATATTGTATACTTTTGTTTGAAAAAACATTTAAAAAAGTGTCTAAACATTATTTTGAAACTGGAAAGCATCCCATTTCATAAATTGAGTAACCTTTTATGTTGTTTTAAAGTAATTTTAACTTATAAGAAGCGCATAACTCTAGCATAAAAAAGAAAAATAGATATAGTTATTTTCAGTTTTTCACTTAACTCACGACATGGTTCCACGCTCCAAGAGCCCTCAAAATGTATTTTTAATTTGGCTATTCTAAAATATACTATAAAATAATAAATTAAAAATAAAGAGTTTTAAATATGTTGAAAATAATTCGTTGCTATACATTTAAAATAGTAGTTAAGAATATAAATTATGAGATAAATTATCATTGTTTTGTAATTGTCAATTTACACACACACACACACACACATATATATATATATATATATATATATATATATATATATATATATATATATATATATATATATATATATATATATATAAAATATGCGCAAAACAATATTTTATTAACTATTTTTATGATCTTAAATAATTAAAAAACTGTGTATGTTATTATATGAATATTGATATTAAATGTTATATTGATATTAATTTCAAATTTAACTTAATTATATTTATCATTTTATCAATTTTATTTAATATGCTTTACAAAGTAAATTTGATAAAATATATATTTTAAAAATTTGAATAAATATAAAAGTATAACAAATTATATGTATTAAAATGTCGCTTCTTGTTTTTCTTATTATCACTTAGGAGTATTTCATTTATAACTATTCAGTTTAAAAAACCAAATCTTGTATTTTCTTTATTTTTTGAATCAAAATTGAATTAAGTGGTAGTACTTTATGATAATGTAATTTTTTTAGACAGTCATTTAACAATAAATTTTTATGTGTAATAAATTATAGTAATTATTTTAGAATTCATTCACATATACATTTCAACTAGTTAATCCTATAACAACTTTTAATCTAACCATACAGGTTCCACCGTAAAATATAATTAAGCTAGACAGAAGATAACTAGACTGGGAAATTGAGCACAGTAAAAATAAATACTCTTCTATTTCAAAATATAATGTTCAAAATTTAATTATACAAATTAATATAAATATTAGTTCTTATTATTTTTAATAAATTTATTAGTTTTTTATTAATATCTTTATTATTTTGACCTTTTGTAACAAAAAATACTTTTAAATAATTTATTATTTTTTTACAATAAATACAATTAAAAGATAAAAATATGATTAATAAAAGGAATAATTGATATAATATTAAATTTTAGAAACGTAAAATATTAAAAACAAATTTTTTCTAATAAAAACTTAGTATATTTTTAAATGATAAACTTCATGCAAATATCATTTTCATCCCATGTGTTTGAAGGGGTTTCAAAGTATCTGAACACAAAGGGCTTCCTTTGTGGACCAACATTAAATAAGGTGTGGTTGTTAGTTCAATATTTGAGTAATATGAAGGAACATTTATTTGGAAATTTTATATAATATGTTATTCTTTATCTCTACAATTATAAGTATTTATTTACAAAAGATGGTGTGCAATTAATAGGCATTAATTTTTAGTGTAAAATATTTTATACTATCAATTAATCCAGATAAACTTCTATGGTTTTATTTTTTATTTTTATAAAAATTTAACATACATAACAAATAATTAGGGATGACAATTAAATCCGTTCCAGTGGGGATCGATCCTTCCACGCCCAGAGTTTAACGGGGAAAATCCGAGTTCTCGGGTTTTCCCAGTTTTAAAAGTCGGGGCGGGGACGAGGATGGGTAATGCAATTTACACCCGACCCCGTCCCGCAGCCCACTTTATATTTAAATTTAAATTTTAAAATATTAATATTTTAAATTTATTTTTTTTCTTTTTCTATTATATATAAGGTCATTTTTTTATATTCCACCAAATTTTTTTTCTTCTACTCACTTTTTAATTTTTTTGTCATTTTTAATCTTTTATATCAATTAATTTATTATATTATTCTTTCTCTTATCTTTCAGTTTTTCACATTTCCTTAATCTCTCCCATGAATTTGTTTTTTTTTTCAATCTTTTCAACCAATTTGATGAACACAAAGTTAATTTTTTTATTCTTTATCTTTTTCTAAATACTTTACATAAATCTTAGTAGTAACTAATATTATTTTATTTATAATTTATATTTATTAGGTTTTATTATGTCATGTTTTTTTATCTTATTATTCTTATTTATCATATATCAAATTTTATCTTAATAAAATAATTATATTTTAAAGGATTAAAGGAATTGATAATTTAAATTTTCATTACTTCGAACTAATTGAATAAGAATTAACTTATTAAATATTTCCTTATAAACTATATATTTGATATTTTTAGATGACAACTTAAAAATGAATTAACTTATATATATATATATATATATAATCAAATGTTTGAATACAATATTATAATAATAATGTTATAAATATTCAAATATTTGAATACGGTGTTATAATAATAATAATAATAATATTATAAATAAAAAATGATTAAATATTTCTTTTACATACATATTTTAATATAAATATAATAAATTAAAATGTATATTTAATTAATAATAATTATAAAATATAAATATTTATTTATATATAAAAAATAGATAGTAAAATTAATTTATTATAATTGTAATTATCTTTTTAAAAATAATATAAATCGGGGACTCAAACCCAGCATGGATGGGGATAGAGACTTAATTTCTAACCCGTGAAAATCGAGGACGGGGACGGGAATAGTTAAAAAAGTCGGGGGCGAGGATCGAGGAGGCAAAATCCGCGCCCGCCCCCGTTTCCATGCCTACAAATAACAGTTTCTAATTGGATAAAAATACAATTTTTCATTAATCTATTTTGTCACACAATTGCAACAACAAAAAAAATCTATAACAATTTTGTTTGATTAAACCAGTACATCTTTTTAATTTCCCATATTTACTTCTACAGTGTAAAATTACAATATTCAACTTGTTTTTTTACCTTTTCCTTTATTAATTATGTGACTGATTACATAATCTATCTCATATATTAGTCTTTACTCTTATATTTTTACTTCTAAATGAATCTTCAATTGTTTTATTTTTTAAATTACTAATCACATTATTAACGTAATTGTAACAATTTAATAAGTTATCATTATCCTAAATTTCAGTTTTAATTATATAAAAGTAAAACCTAGTTCTTTGAACCGCAATTTTATTATAATATATATGTAACACATGGAAATTTATTCCCACAAAGATACTTTGGACTAGAATTAAAGACTCTACGCCAACACATACTTTATCTTATTTAAATCACAGGCAACATTTTTCGTGGCCCACACACTGAGGATAAAAACAAAGATAAAATAGAAGACGAAAAAAAAAAAGAAAAAAACGAGGAAAAAAAAAACGCAATAAACTGAAGATAACCGCTATAGCAATAGAACTCGGCTTCTGTTTCCGGGAGGAGGTTTTGGAAGAAGAGAAGAGTGAAGTGAAGTGCAGTTTTGGAACTGAAAATTGAAAGCTGAGGTAGAAACAAAAAGCAGTTTAAGCGTGCTCCATGGCTTCCGTTCCCGGATCGAGATTCGGCGGCAAAATTCTCCGAACGCGACGGAGCGCCGCCGCGAGGAGCCGCACCCCGTACGACCGGCCCGCCACGGTCGAGCCTCCTAGCCCTAATTGGCTCTCGCGTTTCGTTTTTTCTCCTTCGCGTTTCATTGCTTCTGGCGCCGGGAAAATCATCTCCTCTGTTTTGGATCTCGATAATTCCTCCCCTTCTCCTTCCTCCTCTGCTACTTCTTCTCCCTCCTCTTCCGCTAACGATTCCGACGCTGGTAATGACTGTTATTTAGTGCATGCGCACTTCTGGTACCGTTATACCCATGTGCTTGAAATACTAGGGTTTCTGTCCTTTTTGGTTTTAATTTCGTTAATGTAGGGGTTTTATTTTGTTTTGATTATTCGAGCTTGTGTGCGCTGACTTTGGTTGTAGTTGATAGGCTTGGTAGATCTAGTATCCGAGGTAGGTAGTACCTTGTAAATTGTAATTGTGGCAGTTTTAAGGTGCTTAGTTGGATTTGAAAAATTGTCGAAGTTGCGTGTATATGTTGTGTGTTTTTAATTGAGCTTTAAGTATATGGGTCATGGTCGTGCGTTGTTGAAATAGTAATTATGTATGTCGTTTGGTCTCGGGCTATTGTTGCCCCCTACTAAAAGTTGTGGTTGGTGTCTTATTTTGCAGAGGAAGTTGGTACTTTCGATGATGAAAATGATAACCAGTCGGACGGTGATGTGGCGTTGAGCAAGGTAGTTGACTCTGTTTTGTTATCCTTTACCTGATTGAGATTTAGGACCTTTTTTTAGTTTAACTAGTTATTTTCAATAGGTTTTCTTTGCTTGTAATTTGTGTTCGTTTATCTTTTGGTTTTCTTTTTTGCTTGGGAGATTGAAGTGTTTTCACTTGTTATGCAAGCAGTGCATGATGACGCTTGCATTCACATGTACGTTGTTCCACTGACTTATGGACCTTTTGGAAATTTTAGAAGGCTTCATTCGGTCCAACCTATCACCTCCAGAAATAAAATGATTGATGAATCTTGAGGATTAAATTATCATTATTAGAAATGCATTGGCTTTTAAAAGTACTGCAAATTATATTTCCATTCTGTTAGAGTTAGTTTTCATAGATGGTATCTTGTCTTCCTGAGTCCCCTGGTTTTATCTGATAATATTACACATTTTATATTGATATATGTGATGAAAGGATGGGATATCAGAACTTATCAATTTTTCTGTGAAGGAGCTCAAGCCATTTGTTGGGAATAGCAAGAACAAGCATACCATTGAGCAGCATCTTATGAAGGAGTCATTCTCAAGGTACTGAAGAATCTATTGTTACATGTGGATAGTTCTTTTGTTTTTTCTTACTTTTTTCACCCTTTTGTTTAGCATTGATAGTATGTTAAGAGTTATTTATATTCTTTTGTCAACAATGTAATTTCCTGTAGTTGAATAAAAAGACATTATATATGTATGCATCATGGTTTTAGGGCTTTCTATTATTTTTCATATAATTGAATTTTAAATTAGCAGTAATTTTAGTATCTAATGTGATTCTATTACGTATTTATCTACTCGTCTACCATGATTATAATATAGAGTGCCTGATTCTAATAGTCAAATCAGAAAGACATTCTGTCACTGGTCAATTTTTTAAAATTTATGGTGATCTTAACTTGCCTAAATTTGGGATATTTAAAAAATAAGCATTAACGCAGGCCAGGCAAAGAAATGATCATGTAAAGAGTGCTATGCTGCATATATTGGTGATGGATTTGATTCCTCTAAATTGAGGGATACACTTTAGAAGGTGAAGTGCAAAGTTATAACTGATTCAATCAATGATTGATATTGTGATAAAGTGCATGTACACGGATACCAAATTATGAAGTTGTTAAAATCTCAAATGTTGATTTTTCTTTTTCACTCACAAATATCCCTTTACCTTTTAAAGTGCACCCTTCATGTTGGAAGAGTCAAATACATCAATGATCTGTGCTAAAATTTGCAGACCTTGAGCTATATATGTTGTACAACTATGAGAGTGGAAATGCATTAATAAGATCAATAGTTGAATTTTAAATGTTTGCTTGAACTGCATGTACTGTTTCCTCTAGTAGTGTGGAATAAGATTCTAATACAGTTTAATAATTTATCAGGGAAGAATGTGATAGATTGATAAAAATAATAAGATCAAGAGTTGTTGATCCTGCAAATGATGACGATGGAGATAGGAGGGCGACAGATATACTCAACAAGACTCTTGGAACCGGTATTCCCTTCTTACAAAACTCAGTTTTAACATGTTACTGTTTCCTGACCATGGATTTTTATTTAATTTTTATCTCTTAGATTCATATTCACCCGATCTCCATAGTGCTGCCATTATGGAGGCAAAGAAATGGCTACAGGAAAAGAAGTCAGGATTTGATACAAATTCAGATATAGGTTATGGAAGTCCTTGTTTGAATTTGGTTGCATTACCACAAGTTAGTGACTCTCTCTCTCTCTCTCTCTCTCTCTCTCTCTCTCAGTGTTTGTGGAGAAACTATATTGATTTTTGTGCATGCTATCCCCATCCCCTTTTCTCTTCATATAATGTATATCATTGTAACATGATTTTGCACTAATGGTTTGTTTTTACCTGTATATGTGGCTGTTATGTAGGATCTCAAAGACGAAGGCTCACCAGTGGATGTGGCCAAGTCATACATGCGCACACGCCCTCCATGGGCATCACCTACCATAGACCACACTAAATCTCGAACACCATCTGGAATTCAGCTCTTTAAAGAAGAAACACCATATCTATTGGGCAACAATTCTACACCGTCCTCCAAGGTGCTATTTAATGTTTTGTTTTTACTTTTGGAAATAACATATATGTCTTATTGATTTTTTATTTTTTTTTAATTAGCTAATTTTGTCTTCAAACTGGGATTTTACCTAAATGTAATTTACTTCTAACTATAAATTTATTTAGAGAATTGGGTCCTACATTTTAAACAGGCATTGCTGGGATGAGACATAGTTAAACAGAAATTGTATTATTACTAAAATTCATGAACTTTTGAAAATTAATACAGATAGAGTACGAGATAATTGAACAAGGAGTAAATAGAAAGGGTCCAATTTATTCTCAGGATAGTTGCAGATCATTTCGTTTGGTTGTCTTTAGAAATTATGAAAACTGAATAATATAATATTGTCTGAAGAGTTCAGGTATGCAAGTTGAGTTGGAAGGATTTAAAATATAGGGCTTAATTTCACGAGATTTATTTTACAATTTCCTGCTAGTTTGCTAGGTATGGGAAGGGGATAGATTTTATGGGCCACAGTTTTCATGCAAAAGTCTGAGTTTCTCACCTTTCTAATGTCTGTCCTCTAATTTTTATCCCCCCTTCTCTCGCATGTTCTTACTTGCCTCAGTGTTCCTTCTTATCAATTGCAGCTTAGGCACCGCTATGTTGTCAAGGAATTTAATTTACATGAATTACTTCTTTCAATCATAGCTGGGTTGTCATTTAGGTAGATTCAGTTCCAGTATTCAAATGTTGTGCTTATGAATTTTGATATGGGCTGATGCTGGAATGCAGCTGAAAAGGGATTCTGCTACCACTGGTTCGTGGAGTATTCAGGATGAAATACGTAGAGTGAGATTCAGGGCAACAGAGGATTTGCTTAGGACACTTCCCTCCTCTAAAATTGATTGGTCTGCATTTGGAATGGAGAATAAAAATAATGTAAACTCTTCAGCTATTGAAAATATTGGAGCTAGTTTGGCAGAGGGAGTACATAATTCTACAAATCTAGTGGATGCACCTGCAAACTTGGCTGGAGGATTTGGTTCTCAGGTCTCTCCAGGTATGATTCTACTGCTATAACAAGCCGATTGGTTTATACTGATAATAAATTGTTTAATTGGTAAAACATATTTATTCCTTGAACACATACAAGGCCTGTTCATGATTTACTCATTTAACTTCATTTCCCTTCAGATTTGGAGAGTAAACTGGATGGGTTCCAACCTGAATCTGTGCTGTCTGTGCCAGTTAACATTAATTCTGAACAGGATCAGGTGCGCATCTGAATTGTAGTTTATGTGACATCCTCCCTCCTTTTAATACATTAAAGATTTTTTAAAGATCAACTCTATTTTATATCTAACACGATTTTCTTTTCTTTCTTTTTTTAAGGACTCTGTTGCTGTTCAGCAGACCAAAGGTAAACTGCCGACTATGACAATATACCTAAGATGTTAGTCAAATGTGTTAAAATCAGAACCTTTGTTGATTATCAATGTTTTTGCCCTTGAGATATTCAGGATAATTATACTTGGGCAATTGGACACAGATATTGTTCACAAATTTCTATTATTTTAGATCTGAGAAGTATAATATAACTTCTTTCATGTATAAATCCATTTTTTTTTCTGTCAATGCGACCTGACTAGCAGATAAAGTTCTTTTTCATGCATTGGACAATTTTGTCCCTCCATCTCTCAATAGAAGTTTTACTTTGCTTATGGAAATCCATGCCACTTAGGTACACAAGATGACAGCAGAGAAATAACTATTTCAGGACTAGGCGATGGGTTCTCAAATGATATACACAGGTTAGAGTATTTCTATCATGTCACTTATTTGCAATAAGGTCGTGCTTGTCCATTTAGTCAGGTTAAGTATTTTCGCATTTACTTTCTCTTAGTACCTTATTCTCCCTTCCCATTCCCAACTTTTTCTTATTTGAGGCATTTAAGGTCCTTAAATTATTTGATCTGTTGACCAACTTTTTAACATTTTCTTTTGGCTGATATTTGGAATATTTAGCTTTCCTTTATTGAAAAGTTTTCCTTTAGTGCAACACTATTTGAAACTGATGGCTCTCTGAACTAAAGCTCTTTCAAGTTTCCAGCATTTGATTTTATTGTCATCTCACTTTCTTATGGGTGAACAACCGAAAATATTTGCAACTCTAGATACCATACCCCATGTAACACTGACAATGCCAGTTACAAATTATGTTGAGTTTAATCCTGCCAGTTTTTATGATTACTAACAGTCCATGTGCAGAGATCTAGTCAGGCCTTTTGTATGAATGCTGGCCCTGTATATTATTTGTCTTCTAATTTCAGCATGTCTCTTAATGTTGCAGGGATGACGGTCTGGTTAAAGTCAATGGCATCAATGACACAAATGGGCTAGGTCATCAGCTAGACTCAGTCGAAGAAACTAGAGAGGGTATGAATCAGTCCCTTTGGTGTCTTATGATTGAAAAACATGCGGCTGGAGTAATATGTTATCTGACAACTTCTGGTCACGGTTGTAAAAATGCTACTGTGAGATGCAATAGTGTTTAGCATGAGCCATTGCACATTTCTAAGGGTTTAGCTAGGGTATGATCCACATATTTTATGGAGGAGTATGATTGGATCCAATTTTAATGTTTCTTGGTTAAAAATGTTTTGCATTTTCGTGAGGATATGTGTACATATATCAGGGTGGTAATCTACAAGACCTTGCATGTTTTGGTAGATTATGTGTTTTCCCTTGTTCAAATATGATAAATTTCTTCTTTGTGCTCTGGAGGTTAACTATTTTATTTAATATCCTTAATTTTAGTATTCGTCTTATATGCTGATCTTTCGTTTGTGTGCAGCTATAAATTATAGATTACAAGATAGTAAACACGTAGTAGCCCAAGAAAAGGTTAGAGCAGAAGATGCATTAGCAAATGGGTTCCCCTCTTCAGAGCCGAGGTAAATTTATGGTTCGCGGGATTTTCTTTGATGATGAACTTTGTCAAAGTAAAACCTATTTATATATAACCTAGGTGCCTTTTACTTTTAGTTAATCAGTGGAGTGTAAAATTGTGGATTAAATTTAACTTTTACTGTCATCACAGTACTGAGGTCATATTTCCAAAAAACCTCGATTCTCTGTTAGCAACCTTACTAGCCTTACTTCCTCGGTTGCCAAATTTGGAATGAACAATTTTTAATTGACTTGAATGAAATATGTGCGAACATCAACTGACTGTTTCTCCCACATGTCTGGGAAAAGAAATATTGGCCTTCGTTTTATTACAGTTATCAAAATAGTAAATTTAACGCCATTGTTCTGTTTGCTAGTTTCAATGCAGCTCAGGTTATTGAACCGAACACAAAGGCATTGGAGGACAAAGAACCCAATACAAATGCTTCAAGTCAGGAAAGGACAGCTCAGGTTGTTCTTGAGCAAGAGGCTTGTAAGACACTGCGTGAATCAATGGACGTGCCTGATGTGATTGGGGACGATGATGGTGTTGCCTCTGGTTCTCAGAACAGTTCCAGTGTACAGTACGAGGTTCAACAAGCTACTTCCCAACTGGGTGTAGAATCAGGTTTGCCATCCACACCAACTAGCATTGGTAAGCAAAGGGGAAGAAGAATTACAACCAGATATAACAGAAGGGGCCGGGGTCGGGGTGTCAAATGATGCTCCGTGTTGTATCTTGTATGTTAAATTGTAAGTTACCGTTAGCTTAGGAAGTAGGGATTCTGCAGGTCATTTGTTGTGAGATTAATAATATTCAAGAATATACGTCAACTTAGACAGGTTTGTTTTTTCTTTAATATGTTCTTTCTTGTTATCTTTTGGGTGATTATTGCGTTGATGGAAATCAGGTTCAGAAATTGGATTGTATTTGCTGTATAAATGGTTAACCTTGAGACAATATATTTTTTGCCCCGCTTAATGAATTTTTGGAAACATTACAGTCAGGCACCTTCTTGACGTTCCATTGGTGAATCATAATATCTATAGCAACAATGTAGTACTAGTACTCGAATTAGTATGAGGTTTGTGAAAGGAATTTTGCAAGCAGGTGGATAAAAGAAAAATAAGGTAATTGTATAATTTTTCTTTGTTACAAAAGGAAAGAAAAATATTTATTTGTATTGATAAATTACGAAATTTATTAGTACATTGAAATAATGTCGAAGTTGTTATTATTTTTTTACCTGAACTTTATTTTCATTTATCTACTTACCCTTTCTTTTTTATTGTTGAATTTCTTTATATATATATATATATATATATATATATATATATATATATATATATTATCCTACTAAACTCTCATTGTTATACATTTTATTAATTTTAATTTGCAATTATATGTTCTTACGAGCACATGAAATTTAGTCTTGATATTCTGTTAGCATAAAAAAATCTTGTTAGTCAATTACAAATCTTAAGTTCCATTTCTACAAAATTGATGATAATTGGTTATTAAATGTCGATATTAAAACCTTCTATATAATATATATATATATATATATATATATATATATATATATATATATATATATAATAACTTAAAATTAACTTACTTAATTTGATTAAATTTTTCCAAATTTGAATTGGAAATCAATAACTATCCGCATAAACATTAAATATAAACAATAATATATTGTGATTATTAAAAACATTAAACCCGATATTTTATTATAAAAGAAAGCAATGAATAATGAGTTTATAAAAAAAATTGAATTTTTTTCTTATACATATTATGATCTCAATTTTGATACGTGAATTTATTTCATTTTATCACGTAGAAAGTAGTGAAAAAAATTAATATAAATTACAAATAATTTTGTAAAAGTTAATAAATAAATAAAAAATCGAGTGCATCACACGACTCCAAGCAAGTAATAATAAATATTTAAAATAACTACAAATGTGTTAAAATCATTTGGTAATTCAAATTTGTGTGTGGAGAGACAGCAAAAGAGAGTGTGATAGTGAAGAGAGAGGAGCAGTTTGGTTCAATGCAAGGCAAAGAAATGGAAGGGTTGTCGTCTTCATCGGCGATCGCGCAGAAAACATGGGAGCTCGAGAATAACATCATCCCCATGGACACTCCGGGCGCCGCCGCTTCCTCCTCCTCCACCACAACCAACGCCGACGACTCCATCTTCTACTACGACGAGGCCGGCCAGAACGAGTTCCAGCGCGACAAGCCCTGGGCCAACGATCCTCATTACTTCAAACGCGTCAAGATCTCCGCACTCGCGCTCCTCAAGATGGTCGTCCACGCGCGCTCCGGTGGCACCATCGAGGTCATGGGCCTAATGCAGGGCAAGACCGACGCCGACGCCATCATCGTCATGGACGCCTTCGCTCTCCCCGTCGAAGGCACCGAAACGCGCGTTAATGCTCAGGCCGATGCGTACGAGTACATGGTCGATTATTCCCAGACAAACAAACAGGTTCCTTCGCTTAAACCCTAACCCTAACCCTAGTTCAAATTCGCTTTTATTGAACTTTTTGTTTTTTGCAGGCTGGGCGGTTGGAGAATGTTGTGGGATGGTATCACTCTCATCCTGGGTACGGATGCTGGTTGTCGGGGATCGATGTTTCGACCCAGATGTTGAATCAGCAGTTTCAGGAGCCGTTTCTGGCTGTTGTGATTGATCCCACGAGGACTGTTTCGGCGGGGAAGGTTGAGATTGGGGCTTTCAGGACTTACCCTGAAGGGTATAAGCCTCCGGATGAGCCTATTTCTGAGTATCAGACTATTCCTCTCAATAAGATTGAGGACTTTGGTGTCCACTGTAAACAGGTCTCTCTTCTTTCTTTGCTATTTACCCATTTTTATTTATAATTACCCTACATTTTTTTTTAACTTTTGTTCAACCCCATTCGTGTGTTTTTGCAGTATTATGCCTTGGATATCACTTATTTTAAGTCATCTCTTGATTCGCACCTCTTGGATCTTCTGTGGAACAAGTACTGGGTGAATACATTGTCGTCTTCTCCTCTGTTGGGTAATGGAGATTATGTTGCTGGGCAAATCTCTGATTTAGGTATTATTTTTTTTTCTGCGATATATATATATATATATATATATATATATATATATATATATATATATATATATATATATATATATCTTATTGTTGACTAAAATGGTTCTGCAGTTCTCTTTAAAATGCTGCATATTTGTTAGTGTTATGTTTTATAAGTATGAGTGTCTAAGTTGGAACATTCCTGTTGCAGCTGAGAAGCTAGAACAAGCAGAGAATCAGTTGGCACACTCGCGCTTTGGGCCACTAATAGCACCGACACAAAGAAAGAAAGAGGTGAGTGGATATTTCTTTACAAATCTACAATATTTTCATTTATTTCTTGAAAGTTCTCTATCAGTGTATTGAGGTGTCCTTTGGGTTATTGAAGTTTTCATGACAGCGTACCTTTTTGATGATATAAAAACCTTTCTGGATGATTATCTGTCATTTAATTCATGCTGAATGCAAAATTAGATATGCATCTACTTGTTGAAATTCTGAAGCTTGTTTCTGAAGGTAAGCTGTGAGAAAAGTGTTCCCCAACATGCCTTTTCATTTAACAGTCTAGAAACCATAGGGAAGAAAATTTTAGACAAATACTGGATAAATTAACAACACTAATTGTAATACCTCTGCTAATGAATTTGTAAACAGCTGCCAAGTTTCCTTCATCAACGATGCCAAATTGCCATGTCATAAGATTAGGTCCCTTATTCCAAACAATTTTCGTCGAAGATTGTAGTTGTGTGTGATGGCACTTGTTGAAGTGATAAACATACAGAACTGCCATCATGTTTCTAATACATAAAGATAGATTTTCTGGGATATTGGTTGGAGTGATAATTTTGATATAGGCATGATCTATGTGGAATGGAGGTTTATGTGTCTTAGAATCCTAACACCAGTATGGTAGGTGTAAGCCTGACGAAGAAGAGCCTACAGTTAGAGGTGTCAAACTGTGCAACCCAAATAGCATGTAAATAGACCATACTCTAAACAAATGGCCCAAATTGAATCAAGCTGCCTCGGCCTAATTTGTTTAACCCGTCAGGTCAAATGGGCTTTGGGCCAGCTTGTTTTTGAATTTTTTTTGTTTATTGAAAGTAATGAAAGTTTATATATGAAATTGCTATATCTAATAATTAAAACTAGTTTCATTCATGTGACTTAAACTTATAAAAATATCTATTTTATTTTTTATTTGTTTGGATGTAGTATAATTTTTAAATAAGACTAATACGACCAAGTGGCCCAACATTTGGCTTGCCTGAGCCTAGGGCTGGCCCATTTTGACTCATTGGTCATGTGAGGGGAGCTTGGCCTGTCCATTTTGACAGCTGTACCTTTTCGGAGAACAGTTGAATGGTGGTTTTATACCGACTTTCCTTTTAGTATTCAAGTAATACATGCCATGGATGGATTTTCTTACACTGGTTTCCTAGCTCAATACATGGCAGCATCAATAATGCATGCTTGCAAGAGTTTTCTTACCTTATATCCTTTTTCACCTTTCATTGTTTTTGTTCCTATCGGCGTTGCATTAAATGATTATGTGCCTGTTTTGTTTTGGTGTTGGAAACTAATTCACACTCTTTCCATTGAAAACCCTTTCACTATAAATCTTGGATTGTGGACACGTATCCTAATTATGCTCAACAGTTCAAATTAATTTTGCTTAGCTTTTTAAAGAAAAAAGCCCTGAATGGTGGTAGTAGTTTCCTTATCAAAACCATTTTTTCCATCGAGATCAAAAGAGCATAAATGTAATTGACAATAATTAATATGTATGAACTTTGTCAGTTTTAAAATGGTTATAGCTTCACTTGATCCTCCATACTGACTCAGAATAACTGATTGAGAATTTATATACCAATAATGTAGAACATCCTAAATCATCCTAACTTGATACCTTCTGTTAAAATAAGCGTGAAACTTGTTGCTTTATTCTTTGCAAGGGGTTTGAAGGTGTCATATGTTTGGCTTATTCATGACTTCTCCAACTAAAAGAAAACAGACTCACAACTGGTCTTAAGATCTGATCTTTACTTTTCCCTTCAAATTTGTTGTTTTCACAATAACAAAAATATTCTTAGAAATACTGGATAAAATGTATTTCATTATGAGGTTGTTGGCACTGGGACCCTGTTTCTGTTTGACTAAAGAAAACAGAACCACAATTCGCCCTAGTTTAATCTTAACTTTTCCCTTTAAATTTGTTGTTTTTCACAACAAAAAAATCATTGGAAATATAGAATAAATGCATTTTCAACAGGGTTTGTCAGCTGTCACCACTGAGACCCTGTTTCTATTTGGCCAACTCATTTATCAAAGAATCAAATGTAGGGATTACTGGAGTACTTACTTGCACTTGGTGCCTGTAGTTTTTGCTGAAGACTTGATATTCTGCTAGCTTAATTTGTAATATTTGGTTTCCCCATGACATCTTAGATTTAATTGGGTCAATTTACTGTTTTATTATTATTAACCTCTACAAATATGTGTGCTTGTGCTCATATACAATATGCGCAAAATGGAAAATATTATGTGAAGTTTGAATAGTTTACATGATATTTATGAATTCCTGATTGTTTCTTGTTGAATATCTTAATCTATTTTTTATAATTTTAAATGACACGAAAAAATTGAAACTGATACAGAACCATAACCATACAAATGTATAGTAGGTCTGTGACTGTTGATCATGCGAAGCTGCGCTGAATCAACTTTGTGAACCATCTATGAATACCACTCAATGTTGATGTTAACGTTCTTTGCTGACATTTCCATGATTTGCAGGAAGAATCTCCACTTGCTAAAATTACTCGTGACAGTGCAAAAATAACTGTGGAGCAAGTGCATGGTCTGATGTCACAGGTGACTTGCATTGCCACATCTCCCCCATTCCCTCCCCACGTTAAATTATTCTTTGAAAGGCTGCTCAAATGTAATAATCAATTTCTTCTGTGTAGGTCATCAAGGACATTCTGTTTAACTCTGTTCATCAAGCAAATAGAAGTCGAACAGAACCAACTGGTCCTGAACCAATGATTGAAAGCTGATTTTGGTTCTGGCAGACATGCATTTATATATTCTTTCTTTACTTTTTTGGTCGTGTCCTCATTATGGGCTAACTCTTGTACTCCACAACAGTAAATCTGGCCTTGTACTTTGCCTTTTCCCCCCTCGTACTCTGCATATTCTTGTTTTATTTTACGAGTTTATTTGTTGTTAACCGTGCAGTGGAGCTGACCTAACAGAAACAAAAACCCTTGGCTAATACATTAACAAATACCTTAATGCCATTTACTACTTGTTGCAGCTAAATTAATTTTCTCTTCGTCTATCGTACGTACCCAATTATGCGGGGTTGTGATTGATACAGTCTGTGATAGACGTTGAACTGTTTGGGTCCTCTGAATGATGTTGTATCCATCGTTGTTTATATAAATTAGTTGCAATTATGTTTCTGAACTACTGGCGATAATGTTGCAGGGTAGTGTAGTAATTAGCATTAAACCAACTTGTAAGATTCGAATAATTTTCTTATGATCTTCTATTGAACAGAAAGTTTTTTAATAGAAAATATTAGTAATACTGTCGATCACAAGGGAATATTCATAATGAAAGGGCAGCAACTTCATTCTGCTGGCCATTATCATGCCACAAAACATGAAAACAACTACATAGAGAAATGTTTTAAAACATTATATAATTTCCTTTATTTAGATGAAATCTTAATTGATAGAAGTTTTCGGTTATGTAGTGGTCTGTATACTTGATGGAGTGGCATAGCGCATGGGACTATCGCCTAATGCATGGTACAGGACAAGTAAATGTAAACACGTTTACAATCACTTATACCAACTCTTCAATTGGCTGAGTTATACTTCCTCGGTAGCTCACACATGGGTTTAGCATGGAATAAAAAACATCACTAAGTAGAAAAATCTGTTTCTGGACAAAAATAAAAGCATAACACTTTTAGGGATAGTTTAGTTGTTTGTTAGAATAAAGATAACGTGGTCATATTGGTAACAAATAATAGTGATTGTAATATTGGTAATGGTTGTAAAAGTTTTGACAAAAATAGTAGAAGTGATGCTGGTGATTGATATAACAATCATAATTTTGTAATGACTATGTTAACAACAATGAAAACAGTGGTAAGAATGATAATTACTTTGATTATAAGAATGGTGATGATAATAATAGATGTAATGAAAATGAGGTGGTGTGAGAATAAAAAAAAAGAAAAAAAAAGGTAAACTAACCTATCATGTTACTTTCCAATCTAGTTTTCTCCTCATAAGTAATATTAAAATAAGATAAATAATACAATAAATAAATAATAAATCATCCAGTCCACCAAACAATTAATTGGAGTAATATAAGACAGTTATTATATTCTTAATTTCTATAAAAATGAAACCCTTGCTTCATTTTCTATAAAAAATTCTATTTTTTAATTTACGTAAAATTTAAATTTTTCTTATTTTAACTAAGCAAATTAATTTAGTACATTCTTAAAATTATATCTTTTTAAAAAGTTATTGTCCAAATAATATATCTTTTACTAAAATGTTTCAAAATTTCTATATAAAAAAAAATCATTCTCCAAAAATTCTCTATAGAATACTTTTAAACTCATAAATTTCAAATGAAAAATCAACAACTTAAATAACTGTATGAAGGATAATCTTCACTGGACTTTACACCATACTATAAAAACGAAAAAGAAAGGGAAATGAATGTGTTGCTAACAGGCGAAATAAGAGGAATAAGTAAACTTTGATTTAGACTTGAGATGGTTGAAACACCATGATGCGCACAAGAGAGAAGTGGTGAAATTGGATACGTATCATGTCATGTGAGACTGAACGGTTGATACAAAATGGATGGCTCTCGGAAAAAGTAGGTTGAAGACCACTTCAGTTTCTGTGTCTGCACATGAATATGCATCCAAGGCTATAATTTTTCAAGTCCTTTTCTCATGTACGATAATTCAAATTATAATCATTTAGATACCCAATAAGAGAGGCCTCTCTCAAAACGTACTCTCTGTCCTTCAAATCATCTTACTTTCAGTTTAACTCTCATTTCATCCTCTATTTAGACTTTCCGAAATTTTCACTTGTAGTAAAACTCGGCTTCTCATCTCATGATTCTCTACCTAAACATTTAGTTCTGAAAAATCTACCTTTTCTTCTTTCTTAAAAATGTCTTTAGTTTTGGTAAATCACCTCTAAAATATGCTTTCTAACTTTTTTTCTCTCATTGTCAGTTGTCAAACCAAGATGCGTTCGATAAGATTCCGAGGGGGTAACAAAAAAGAAAAAAAAAGGAACACCTTGATTCACAAGCTAATGGTCCTTCTCTTTTTCACATGGAACTTAACCCTTCTCTTTTCTTTTTTCTAGAATCTGCCACTGCCACAACATATGATGGAGGCCTAGCTACTTCCATGACCAACTTTCAGAATCCATCAACAGATTTTCACTTTGCCAAAATTTATATTTGTCTCGTGTTTCCTTGTTCGTTCTCACCACCATCCCCATCATCAACTTCACCAACCAACTTGCCTTTGGGCTTCTCCAGACACAACTCCTACCACTCTTCTCGTGAGAAATCTAACTCCTACCATCAATTATCATATCATAATCCTATCACCACTTCACAACACAAACAAGAACTATAAAACTTTAAACAAAAACGTTGTCATCTCCTCGTATAAAGTGACCAAGTTTATTGTCTTGGTTTTTGCAACTTCCTATTTGAAGCATTGAAAAGTAAAGAATAAATGAAATATGAGGATACTAACACTAATATACAACACCCTAGCGATATAGCACAAGGGTGGGGGCAAGAAGAAAAGAGAACCTTACTTTAAAAATGGTTGGTTCATAGAATTTTCCCCAATCCCATCAAAATTGACAGGGAACGAGAAATAATTCCAAGTTATCACAAAGAAAAAAAATGCCTTCCCACTTGAGGATTTTATTTGTGTATTGCGAATTATATTTTATAACTTTTTCTAATATCAATGTGGCTAAAAAACTTGTGTGAAAATGAAACAAAATATGTGGTGATTTTACAATGCCATGCATAAAAAAAGAGTTGTCCTTGAGAATGATTGGTTTGGTGGGGCATTTTCTTCAGAATTCCATCCCAAATCCATATCACATATCCTATGCCCTTGTGTAAGGCTGTTCTTAAGAATCTTTTCTCCACTTGCTCCTCATCACACACAACATTAATTTCTGGTTAGTGTGCCAATGAAATCTGTGAACAACTATTGCTTATTATTCAACCCTTTTCACCAATAATGATTATTCTAATGGCATCTCTTATCTCTGCCTTTCTTTCCCAACCCTTTTCTTTATTCAACTTTATACTCGAGGCGTGTCCATCTTCTATTTATTTTGGTAGGTCAAAAAGACAAACCCTAAGGAACTCTGTGGGGTAATGTTTGGATGCAATGTTCAAGGACCACTTTGCAGAATATTAAGACACAATTGAAATTTTCTCACTGAATTGGAAACATTGATGTGTTTAATCCAATGTCAACCACGTACTCGTTGCTTCAATTCTATTTGCATGTATAGTTTTGTATTTTTTTACAAACCATATATATTTTTATTCTCTATACCTAGATTCACATATCTTTCTTCTTTTATCTTTTGAAGCATCAATGCGTATTATATTCCATTTGGCATTGAGGAACGAAACAGTGAATAAAGTTCATGGTGAAAGAAAGCTTTATTCACAATTTTGAAAATTTATTAGTCTCTTTTTTTTTATCATGGTTTAATTGTGTGTTTGGCATGTGGACAAAAGTTATAGAAACTATAAAACATTTCTTTAGTAAGAAGGGTTAATGGAACAAATGAAAACATATCAAGAATTTGGTTATTTTATGTGATAGTCTTTATATGATTGATTAATCTTCAAAAGAAGATATGAAAATTTGGTTCATCAAACTTACAATTTTTTTCATTTCACACTATTTAAAAACAAAATTGGAAATTTAATTAACAAAATTATTATAAACTTTTGCATCGAGTAACTTAAAAAGGGTGATTTTTATATGTCTTCCACTCTCGAAATACTTAAATAATTTGTCGCTTTTACACCAAAATAAATAAAGTTAGCCATTTAATGCCTTCGTAATTTTATTTAATTTTTATATTAAACAAAAGCCAAATGCTTGATAGGGAAATTTAGAATAAATGCCCTAAAATTATTATAATGGGTGTTACGTTTTGTACTTGGCTAGGTACGTGGAATAAAATATTTTTGTAATATACGTAAGGCATAATATACCGTGTTTGGAAACTAAGTTGGAAAACTTTGTATTCAAAAGCTACATATTTTACTGGCAGGTTTGGACAAAATATTTTTAACATTTCTTTTAATTGAAAATACAGTTTTTATTATTATTACATATAAAAAGTAAAAAACTTATCTTGATAACAAAGTATACATAGTCAATATTTTTTATATAATTAATTTTTTTAAAATATTTTTTTCTCGCCTTTTTAAATATATTTACTGTTTTGGTCATGTATCATATTTTTCTTTCTCATGTTTTTATTTATTTTTTAAATATATAAATTATAATAACTAATTTTTTTCTTCGAAACAATTCACATTACAAGTTTAACTATGATATCATATAATGTAATTATTAAATTTTAGTTAGGGATTCACTTTTACTCAAGGTTTCTATGAGTTATTTTATTATTTAAAAAAATTTATAAATAAAAATAAATTAAATACAACAATAGATACACTTATCTTATATATTTTTTACGTTAAAATTTACCTATTTCTTTTAATTTTAATCTATTTCAATCTTAAATATATGCAAAATGCTCAAAAGTACAAAGTTCAAAATTGAATTAACGTCACATTTGACTCTTGCTAAATATTTTGGTTTATCACCCCTAAAAAACAATACATGTCAATCTAAATTTCAATTTTTAAATTATAACATATTTTTTCTCTATATTATAAAAGTTTGCTTCAATTAATTACACACTTAATTATAATTATTTGAAATGTTTTTCATAATTTATATATTTTAAAATATTATCTGAATTTAAGCACATATTCTACCACGTGTAAATCCTAGTTAGTTTTAAAGCAACTTCTCAATAATAAGAATCTCTCTATTTTTGGAGGAACAACGCGTTGGAGAAAAAAAGAAGAAGATAATTGTTAGATAATATAAATAATTTGAGAAACTAGTTATGAAAATTTTGATATGAGTGTTATATTTAAGTAATGTATTTATATTATAGTTTTTAATAAATATATCTTCAAAATATTCATTAATAGGACATTTTTTATTCGCAAGAATTTTTTTAACACAGCTTCTCAATTACGTACATAGCCTTTACTTTGAGAATAAGAATCCATGAAGTGCACATGATGAAGATGACAAGTGCTTCTTTTGTTTTCATGAGAAGAATTTAAGAAAATAATAATAATATTATTATTATTATTTTATATTAAGAATTGAGAACAGGATAATATTTTTTAAAATAATTTTTTTTTATTTAAAATCCACTATAGATTATTTATTTTTCAACTCTTCTGTCACATTAAATCTTTTCATTCTCACACTAGCTAGCTTCTTTACCGTTAACATTTTTTCCACGTTATTTTTCAAATGCATATTAATTTCCTTTTAACATATAAACATTGTTAGAAATGCAATTATGGTTCCATTTGGTTGTTATATTTCTTCCAAATAAAAGACAAAACTAAAGGTATCTAATTGTTGTCTATATATTCCAGGCCAAAGAATGAAGCAAACTTGGTTTTTACTTCAATATTTGAACAAAAAGAACCAAATTCAGTTTAAAATGTCGGTTAAAGCAACTAGTTAATATTCATTACTCATTAATTTCATACATTATCATGCATATAAGCAAATTGTTGATCTAAATACGGTTATTTTTTTTAATAACATTTGATGAACAAATATGATAATATACCTGTTAATTGACTCTCAAATCATTTTAAAAATTGAGTTCAAAAGTAATTTACATATATATATATATATATATATATATTTTTCTTATCTTCTCAAAATGTTTTAAAGACAAAATCGTGAAGGACGAGAGCTTCAAAGTGAATAACACTCAATTTATATATATTATTCTTTTTTTATCGAAACGTCACAAAATTATGATGAATATTATTATATCATTTTTAATCCACCAAAACGTCTTTTAAAAGATAAAATTTTGATGAACATTATCATGAATATTATAATATCGCTTTTAACCTACGAGACATATTTTAAGAACAAAACTATGATAAACATTATCATCTCAGACATAAGATTGATATACCCATGTTCTTGGACATAATTATTTTTAATATCTTCATTTGATATAATTATTTGTTTAATCATTAAAAAATAGTTACATAAATTAGTTTTCCAAAAGATATGATTTTTTTTAAACTAATATTTAGAATTTAATCTTTTAAAAAATTCACTGCCTTTAAGATAAGACCATTTTATACCAATTTTGTATTTAAGGACTAAAAAACAGTTTTGACATGATTAAACAAACTAAAAAAATACCTAAATTTGAGAAGAAGAAAAAAATATTCAATCCTTCAAAATATTGACATCTTAAACTATGAAGTCTTTAAGGTTTCTTCATTGTTAAAGGTCTTTTTGAGTTGTCATTGTTCGCCAACGCATCAGAATCGTTTTATGAAATTCACATTTTGGAAGCAATAACACGAAACATGGTTCCTTCAATTTAGAAGCAATAACACGTGTAAACAAAAATACACACATGACGTACTTCCCCGGTGTAATTTTTTTTTTTTTACTAACAATCCAAATATATTTTTTTTAGGTAAAGTAAAACTTTATATTAATATACTTAATATTTATTCTTTAAAATAGAATAATTTCCTCCTCATTCCAAATTAAAATCCAAAAAATCATAATAAAGAATGTTTTTAAAAATTATTATAATTTTACAGTTTTTAAAAGAAAAAACATTTTGCTACCTTTTCTAACGAGTTTGAAAGAGTAACTTTAATAGAAAGTTATAAAAATAAAATACACGTGGAGATATCTTATTAAGAATAATTGTGGGTAAACTTATTTCGTTCAATAATTTTTATGCATATTAAATTTCGTATGTCTAAATATTAATAATTAGTGGTTATTAAGTTTACAATATTTTGATATGATTTAAAATTTATTCTAAACTTTATCAATCAACTTCATCATTTAATGAATGATATATCTTTTAAAGGGATCGTCATTATTGCATATTAATTTATGAATGTTCAATTAATTAAGTTTCCTCATATGAAATAATCAAGACAATTTAAAATGATTTATTGGTTGAGTTATATAATATAGAAATTAGTAAGTGTTCAAGTTATTGATAAAATAAGTGACTCCCATTTTTCATGATGGAAAATTTTAAATTTAAAAGTAATTATTTCCTGTTGAAAGATTCCATCTTGCTAAATCTATATAACATATGAGTAATGTAGATTCTCTCATGTTGACAATTTTAGATAAGAAAATGTTGTTGCTCTAGATTTTAAAATATTGTCAACGAGAAAATGCCATTTAAAAAATATTTAATTAGTATTCATAGAAATTTATCAACAAATTAATATTAAAAGGAGGATCTCGATTCCAAAAATAGTATAGGATCAAGCACACGGGTTATGTTTACTCTAGCTTGACGTCTACTATCTTCAAATTACGAAGATAATTTTTTTTACGAGGTATTTATAATTTTATCCAATATAAACAAAATATATATATATATATATATATATATATATATATATATTTAGAGTATTTTTTGAATATTATAATATAGTATTTTTTAAAAATATTTAATATTATTTTGTATATTTGTTATTATTAGAATATTTCGTTATAATAATATTGTTAAAATTAATTTCTATATTGAAGGTATTGTTAGTTTTAAAGTTTTTATTCGTCATAATTTTATTTTTAAAAAATATCTTTATGAATTAAAAGAGAATGATATATTTAAAATAATTATTACAAATCTTAACATATTGTTATAATATTGTTATAGTTTATTATAGGCCTAAATGGTAAACTATTGACCCTACTTATTCGGATGGGTGTTCACCCCAAAGTGTTCCCGGACCGCATGCATACATACGTAAGTAACTTAGTGAAACATGGGAAATTTAATTGAGAGGATAAACTTATAATTTTCTTTTTAAGGTATATTTTAACTGTATTAAGAAAAAAAAAAATATATATATATATATATATATATATATTATTGTAGTGGTACGAAATTTAACATAAAAATAATATATAATCTTTGGGACCGGCGTAACACCTTTCCAATTTAAAAAATGGATATATGTTAAATAATTTTATTTATAATTGATTGTCTTTAAATTAAAAGAAAAATATAAATTCACAATTAATTACAGAATTTATAATTATTGACAATCCAAAATAATTTATAAATTATGATCCAAAATAATAGTATTAGTCTGGGTTGTAAAATCGAGAGTTACACTATCTGTTGTTTATCGTCATCAAACTAAAATATAACGTAATACGAGAAACGAGGTTAATGTGGCTAGTAAATATTTGTTTAGCCTTGTCTGTTATTTAGACATCTTCTTAAAAGAAAAAAAGAAATGTAATGTAAAGTGTAGAAGATAAAAGGGAGGGATATGAAAGAGTGGAAGGTGAATGGAAGAGAAGAGAAAGAAAAGGGAGAAAGACCTACCCCTGATAGCATCAATTAGCGTGGCAGGTCAATGCACAAAAGTGTTGGACTGTGGTACCCACCACCACTCAATCGCATAACCACACCACGCACCTCCTCTCTCTCTCTCTCTCTCTCTCTCACCTCCAACTTGTTAACTTATTGCCCATTGCACCCACACTCGCATATTTGTTTATTCATTCATTCATATATCATGTATATATAGCACCCCGTAAGCCACTGCACCCACTACCATATCTTTCTCCTCCTTCTCAACTCAATTGTTTAAACCCTTGAAGCTTCTTCTATTCTGATTGCAACACCACCGCCACACCTTCCAACATGGGCGGTATCAGCCTTGAGGAAATAAAAAACGAGAACGTTGATCTGGTACTTCTCTCTTTGCTTTTCGTTTAAACCTCTTCTTCCTATTCACTCTCATTCTTCGCTTCTCACCAAAATTTTACATGTTCATCACTCTTCATCTTTCTTTTTACGTCAAAATTCCACAAATTAAATACGAGCTATTAGTTTTCATTATAATTTATAAATAATCAAGTAAGTATATAGAACGATTATGTGATTTTTTACGAGACTGTGTAACTATATATAACTTTTTAAGTTTGATTATTGGTGTTTGAATATTATATATATATTACTTATTTTATGATTAACAAAAAAATTGACTTGTCTTATAAGAATGAGTTTTACGTGTATAAATGTATAATTATTAGACTTGTGAATTGAGGAAAAACGTGGTGTGGCTCCTTTTGCCGCGTGAACTCGAAACCCCTTTTTACGCTAACAGCTCTTTTCGTTCCCGAATCTGGCCTGTTTATCACTTCGTATCGTGACCATTACAAAAGAGAATTACACAGATGCATGTATACATATTTTTTATTAATTTTAAAATTTTAATTTTATTTTGACATATGTATTTTTACTATACGATATCGCTGGAGTAACAAAAAAAAAATTACAAAAGGTTGATGACTTTAATAACTGTGTTAATTTTATTGATATATACAGTTAAGTGCTATAAATGAGATAGATCTTAAAAGGGAAAAAAAGTGAGACCTACTGTGGCACGGAAAGAAAGGAATCACTTAGCTTCTGACGCGTGTCCCTCACCCCATCAACATATTCTATTTCCATGCACTTTTTCTTTTGCCTACGTATAGTATTTTATCAAATATTTCGTGCTTTATTTTAGTGAAAAACACGTTTATTATTATTCAACTCGTTACGTTAAACTTAAATTAACGTTTTCGTTTTTCCGCCTTCTTTCTGGTAACTTGTTCAACAAGAGCAGGCAACCTATAAGATATGTTTTTTTTTTTTTCGATTGAGAATCGAGATGACATGCATCCGCGATGTTCTCCATATATATTATTTGAATTTTGATTATTGTTTTTGAGGTTAAATGTTGTCAACCAGATGAAATTATCTTAAGCATCAGTTTCATAATAGTTATCACAAAATGAATAATCTTATTAACCAATGACAATATAATTCTCTTAAAATATTTTAAGTGAATCTTCAGTACAATTAGCACTGGGTGAATTCTGCTTTAAAACACTGAAAAAATGAAGGAGCTAAGTACATCATTATCATCATAATTATAATAATAATAATAATAATAATAATAATAATATATAAATTGTTAAGAATCAAGATGAAGTTGGTTGGTGATGTCATGCAATTGGAGAAATAACCAGACAGTGTCACATAATTGCAGGAAAGAATTCCAGTGGAGGAAGTGTTTGAGCAGCTGAAATGCTCAAGAGCAGGTCTAACATCAGACGAAGGAGCCAGTCGGCTTCAAGTTTTTGGACCAAACAAATTGGAAGAGAAAAAGGTATTTTTCTTTTGTTCGTGTTTTTTCTAGGGTCACAGTGCAGTTAAATTTGGTTTTCATCCCTCATTGAATCGTTGAATGATGAACAGGAAAGCAAAATTTTGAAGTTTTTGGGTTTCATGTGGAACCCCTTGTCATGGGTTATGGAAGCTGCTGCTATAATGGCCATTGCTTTGGCCAATGGTGGAGGAAGGCCTCCGGATTGGCAAGATTTCGTTGGTATCATTGCTCTCTTGTTCATTAACTCCACAATCAGTTTCATCGAAGAAAACAACGCCGGCAATGCTGCTGCTGCACTCATGGCTGGTTTAGCTCCCAAGACTAAGGTAACCTCACTCTGATTATCTAATATGTACCATCCATCATGTATACAACATGCCTTGTTTGCAGTTGTGTAAGTTTCTCTTTCTTGTCATTTCGTGGTTTTTAGGTACAGTTTTGCCAAATAGTTTAATACTACTTAGCAGTTAATTGTTCATCACATTAAGTTTTGAAAGAAGTGTTTTAAAATCTAAAAAACTGGAAGAGTTGACAGATGTTTCCTCATCTTCTTTGTTTTCATCTTGTTCAACCTCTCTCGATTCTACACTCAGCTATATGTCTTGCATCACCCTTTCCAGGATTAACCTTATGTAGTTGCATTTTGAAAACTAAAATTATTTTTTAAAATGGAAATCAAACTCATCCTAAATGTTTGATGTTGCCGCAAAAATTTCAGGTTCTCAGAGATGGGAGATGGACTGAACAAGATGCTGCAATTTTGGTCCCAGGAGACATAGTCAGCATCAAACTGGGAGATATCATTCCTGCCGATGCCCGTCTTCTAGAGGGTGATGCTCTGAGTGTTGATCAGTCTGCTTTGACTGGAGAGTCTCTCCCAGTGACAAAGAATCCCTCTGATGAAGTGTTTTCTGGATCAACTGTTAAGAAGGGTGAGATAGAAGCAGTAGTGATTGCCACTGGGGTGCACACATTTTTTGGCAAAGCTGCTCATTTGGTTGACAGCACCAATCAAGTTGGTCACTTCCAGAAAGTCCTTACAGCAATTGGTAACTTCTGCATTTGCTCCATTGCGGTTGGAATAATCATTGAGCTCATAGTCATGTACCCAATACAACACCGCAAGTACAGAGATGGGATTGACAATCTGTTGGTTCTCTTGATTGGAGGAATTCCAATTGCCATGCCAACTGTTTTGTCTGTCACTATGGCTATTGGTTCTCACAGGCTTTCACAGCAAGGTGCCATTACAAAACGTATGACGGCTATTGAGGAAATGGCAGGAATGGATGTCCTCTGCAGTGACAAAACTGGGACTCTCACCCTAAATAAGCTCAGTGTTGACAAAAACCTGATTGAGGTTTTTGCCAAGGGTATTGAGAAGGATTATGTTATCCTTCTAGCAGCTAGGGCTTCTAGGACGGAGAATCAGGATGCTATAGATGCTGCAATTGTTGGGATGCTTGCTGATCCAAAGGAGGTAAATATGTCAAAATGACGATCACTATCATTTGGGATTAATGAAGATAAAGAAATATTAATTTATTTCTACTTTGCATTTGTCAGGCTCGAGCTGGTATCAGGGAGGTCCATTTTCTTCCATTCAATCCTGTGGACAAGAGGACTGCTCTAACTTATATTGATTCTGATGGAAATTGGCATCGATCTAGCAAAGGTGCTCCTGAGCAGGTAAATATGTGATCTGTTAACACCATTTGGTACATTTGTGAACATTTTAGATGCCTGATATACTTTTCTTTCCTGGCTTAGATATTGAACCTCTGCAACTGCAAAGAGGATGTCAGAAAGAGGGTTCATGGAGTGATTGACAAGTTTGCTGAGCGAGGACTCCGTTCTTTAGGTGTTGCTCGGCAGGTTAGAAAAGCTGATATTTAGCATTCTCTTCTCCAACCTATTAATTGTTTGAATAACCCTCGTCTATCGCTGTTTGTATGGTGTCTGCATAATAGGAGGTACCTGAGAAAAACAAGGATAGTCCTGGTGCACCATGGCAATTTGTTGGTTTACTACCACTTTTTGATCCTCCAAGGCACGATAGTGCAGAAACTATCACAAGAGCTCTGAACCTTGGTGTGAATGTTAAGATGATTACTGGTAGGATTGTAGGGAGACCTTACTTTGTTGCAGTTCGTGTTTCATACTACAAATGAAATCATGTAACTTACAAACTGTTTGTGGTTTCTTGTTCTCCAGGTGATCAGCTTGCGATTGCCAAGGAAACTGGCCGAAGGCTTGGCATGGGAACAAACATGTATCCGTCTTCTTCATTGCTTGGCCAAAGCAAGGATGCTTCTGTTTCAGCTCTTCCAGTTGATGAATTAATTGAGAAAGCTGATGGATTTGCTGGAGTATTTCCTGGTAGGTCCTTGTCCATGATGATAATGATCATGGTACTTGATAGCATCACACCATCACACATTTTTTTGTTTTCATCTATTTTAGACATCCTTTTCAATGTTCATGGCTTCTTTGCAATCTGGTGACATGGGACTACTACTTTTGTTAACAATGCTAACCTTGTGACATGTTTCAAATCAAACAACATTTTAATCACTTTTTCCTCTCTCTATGACATGTCAGAACACAAGTATGAAATCGTGAAGAGGCTGCAAGACAGGAAGCATATATGTGGAATGACAGGTGATGGTGTCAACGATGCCCCTGCATTAAAGAAAGCAGACATTGGAATTGCTGTTGCTGATGCCACAGATGCTGCTAGAAGTGCTTCTGACATTGTGCTCACTGAACCTGGTCTGAGTGTCATTATTAGTGCAGTGCTCACCAGCAGGGCAATTTTCCAAAGGATGAAGAATTATACTGTTAGTTTCCTTGCATGCATGATTTAATTGATAGACTTTATTTTAAAATATGAAAATCTAACTCAGAAATGTTGATTATGGCAGATCTATGCTGTGTCAATCACCATTCGAATAGTTGTAAGTGCAGAACATGTGTTAACTCATAAAAAACATGTCAACATTTTACACATATATATATGCATGGTTCATATAATTTATGTGATCTATTTCTCTTTGACAGTTTGGTTTCATGTTTATTGCTTTGATTTGGAAATTTGATTTTGCACCCTTCATGGTGTTGATTATTGCTATACTAAACGATGGTAAGATAACATTTATTTAACTTTCATGCTGTTTATACAGAATATTCAGTGAAAAAAATAATAATAATTTGATTCCCTTCATCCCTATACCTTAGGTACCATCATGACAATATCCAAGGATCGAGTGAAACCATCTCCACTGCCAGACAGCTGGAAGCTGAGGGAGATATTTGCAACTGGTGTTGTGCTAGGTAGTTACTTGGCTCTAATGACAGTGGTATTTTTCTGGCTCATCAAGGATACCGACTTCTGCTCGGTAATAATTTATATTTTAGGTTTTCCTCAATATTGTCAGCACCAAATGGAGAAAAATTGTGAGAGCCATAAGCACCATTTGCACAATTGCAGGACAAGTTTGGTGTGAGGTCTATAAGAAATAGCCCCGGAGAAATGATGGCAGCCCTGTACCTACAAGTCAGTATTATAAGTCAAGCACTGATTTTTGTTACCAGGTCGCGCAGCTGGTCCTACGTTGAGAGACCTGGTCTTCTCCTACTGAGTGCTTTTATGATTGCACAACTGGTAATCTTGAATCTCCTATTATCAGCAACCTAGGACATATAGTTGTTTGTTGGTTTCTCTTTTAATTTTGTGATTGCAACAGTTCGTTTTTTTTGTCATGAACCTGGTCTTCATAATCTGGCACTTGTCCCTCACTCGACATCCACATCCATTATTTAAAACATAATAAACTAATACATTGAAATCATGTAGCTAGTAACATTCACATCCACCATTGAAAAATCAGTACATCTCTAACTAAACTAAGCATTGAAATGGAATCAAAATATAGTAGTCTATAGACCCATTCAATACTAATGTTGTCTCAGGAAGCCATAGTTATTTGCATGGAACTCCAGTATGTGAGTAATTTAAAATCAAATGAGTAATAATTTGCTTCATGATTGACAGGTGGCAACTTTTCTAGCAGTATATGCTAACTGGGGCTTTGCAAGAATTAAGGGAATGGGATGGGGTTGGGCAGGTGTAATCTGGCTCTACAGTTTAGTGACATATTTTCCACTTGATATACTTAAATTCACAATCCGCTATGTTCTGAGTGGGAAAGCTTGGGACAATCTTCTGGAGAACAAGGTAATTTCTTTGTTGGTATTATTTAATTACTGATTGCATTGTTGATCTTAGTCAGAAACTTCAAAATTCAAAACCTGTTTATGACAGACTGCCTTCACCACAAAGAAAGACTACGGCAAAGAAGAGAGAGAAGCACAGTGGGCAACTGCTCAGAGAACTCTTCACGGTCTTCAGCCACCTGAAACAACCAACCTTTTCAATGACAAGAATAGTTACAGGGAGCTTTCAGAGATTGCTGAGCAAGCCAAGAGACGTGCTGAGGTTGCAAGGTAAGCCACTAACTCCACTTATATAGTTCTGTTGTGTGGCATCAAGTTTGTGTGTGAAATAATTAATGAAGGGACAACATGTAATTCTATAAGGTTTTTTTCTCCAATCATAATTAGAGTTTCATCTTGGTAATTTGCATTAAACCTTTATTACAGGAATTACACTTAGATGAAACTCTAATTCTAATTGGAAAACATCAATAAAAGCACCTAAGGAGATTATATATATGTAAGTTGTCCTTCATGAAGTGGTAATTATAAAATATTGAGGAATGACTAACAAATTATACCTGTGACAGTATCTTACAGATATTTTTTTATATTGGTTTACAGACTAAGGGAGCTTCATACTCTGAAAGGACACGTTGAGTCAGTGGTAAAGCTGAAAGGACTTGACATAGATACAATCCAACAGCATTACACAGTTTAAGAATTTTGGACAATATTCAAGAAGAAGTCACTTGGAGCTTGTCCAAGAGCAACAACAGATATGATGAAGACCTAAGTTAATCCGTTTTAGAGTTGTGAAAATTTGAATGATTACTCTTCTTTTAATGTATGTCAGTAGTTCAAGAGGTATGCTAAACTCTTGGATACCAAATAACATGGCAGATAGGATTTACTTTCATCTTATCTTGAGAGTGTTAAATGATATAATGGTCACTTTAAAGTCTTAGCTTTTTCTTGATGAACAAAACCCAATATATTAACTATCTTATTCATGTAATTCAAGCATCAATTTAATATCTGGTATATCTTTTTACTTTATTCACGCCAATAGAAAAGATGAGTAAACTGGCAAAGCATAAGAAAAATATTAATATTTAAATTTAGTGATAAAAATTAAAAAGAGTGGTACAGTTAAGTTAACTGTTATGTGCATATTATGTTTGTTTCTCTATTTTTAACTGAACCAAAGAGAGGGGAAGATGAATGTTGTGCTATTGAAAGAGATAAACAAGTTCACAAGGTTGAGAGAAGTTAACAGAATATCTTTTATTGCTTATTATAATTAATATATGGGATGTAATAGGTAACGTGCATTCAGGCGTGCTAATCTGAAATCATCAGATAAGGAAGATGGACTCTGAACTGAGAGATTCCCAACCCACATATGATGGTTCGTCCTTCTGTGCGTTTCTTTTTCTTTTTTAGGTGAAGGCAAGGAATAACAATCTTATAATGTTTTAAGTGGAGATGCCCTAATCTTTCAAATACTGCAGAGAGTAGAAACTAATCATTGCCTATATCTTTCATCTTTTATTTTCCTATCCCTTTTAGTTTTAAAACTTATTTATTAAAACATTTTCATACTATTTAATAATCAACTTCTCGTTTAATAATCATACTACAATAGATACATGTTTTCTCATCTTGTTTTCATCTGGTTTTAACTTCTCCCTCTTGTTTCCATCTGGTTTAGCTTCTCCCTCTCAGTTTCACACTCTATTTATGTCTTGCACCAACCATCCTTCACCAATTGTTTGATAACCTTGTTTAGAGGATTTTAAAAACTAAAGAATTTTTTTTATTTAAAAAAACACCTTTTTTGTATTCAAGGGGAGAGAATTGTTAATACATGGGATTAATCCCTCCAGCGGTATGATCTATCCTTCAATGACTCTTTTTAAAAATGGTAACTGTAGCTGATAGTCTGCTTGTAACAATTTCAAAATTTTCTTTTCTTCCTCGTTATTGAAAAGAAATTTGCTGGTCGGCATAGAGCACTAACGCGTGTGGGTTTGATAAAGTTACCCTCAATAATTATAGTTTTATTGTTGCGCAACTTGGAGATAGAGATTCTAAGGAATAAAGTGATAATATGTACAATGATGCATTCGAATATGGTGCCTACCAATTTTCTTTTAGCTGTCGATAGAGGTTTTAATTTTTCATGTGTGTAATCCTTCCAAACACTAATAAATCTGTCAAAATAAATTGAGCACCTATTTGAAAATAGCAGCGAATTCAAAATTAAATATATCAATATTAAAATATCTAGCATTAAAACAGATCGACACATTGTTTCTCCAGCCAACAACACAACCAGCAAGCGTAGAGTATTGCACTGTATGCCATTTACTTCAAAATGAAGTATCATTTATTCTAATTCCAATTTTAAATGATACGAAAATGGTCAGCCTTCGTGCTTGCCATTTTTGTTTGCCATGTAAAAAAGATGGAACTTGTAAGAAACCAACTTTTACATATACATTGAATTATGAAAAATATAAAATAAAATAACTGACAACAGTTTGAATAGATGTAAACCTAGCCCTGTCGTAGTAATTATACAAGACACCCGGAGTAGGCATGGAAGGAATAACGAGGCCTGAAGGGGCCAAAGTACATATGCTAAGTGACAACAGTACAGAAAAAATGAACTCATCCTCTGAGGTAACAATTTTGAAGTTATTTTTTCTAATATTTCACATCTCTACCAAGAATTTTTACAGATGAATCTAGACTAAACGGGGGCTTTTTGATGACACGTCTGCTGAATCGCTTGTGGTAAGTTTAATACAATCTCTGCGTATGCTGGAATGGATGAAAAATATAATAAAGTAAGTATTGAGAGCATTGAATAAACCCTGTATATATTTTAAATTACTTAAAAATCTATTTTTAACTAGTCATCATGTGCCCACAAGCAACAGAAAACTCATGTACCTTCAGGTAAACTCATGGTTCGTAAGGCATCTTCTGCATACGTTAAGCGAATTGGAGCAGAATGACTTCCTGAAAGTCCATCTTCCTTCCTGTTCAAAGTTGCTGTAGTACTTTTATTGAACATTGGCCAGGCTAGCACTGAGATTCGAGTCGGAAGCACCGAAACTAGATCAGCATATCGAAGGCTGACTGTCACCTTGCTGAAAAAAAAAAAAAAGATAGATTGAGCAAAGAATATTCAATTTCAATGGAGGAAAATAGAAGATAAGAAATGTTAATAATAAACTTCTGACAGAAACAAATAAACTTTCTTAATTAAGGTGCAAACAAATCAAAATTGTAAAACCTACAAATCTTTCCTTTCATTAGAACCATCTTTCCCAGCACCCCAGCTACTTGACCAAAATTTTTGGCATAACTTAAAGTTGACAGAAGGAAAATATAGACTGACAGATAATTGTTGCCAAGGGAACAATTGTAAAACAATCAAAACAGTAACATGTGCTTTCTTCAACCATTGAAATCTGGAGCATACCTAACTTCACTCTAGTCACACTTTACTTTTAGCATCACATTACACATTAGAATGGCCACAAAAAAAAAAAAAAAAAAAAAATCATTTTACTAGATTATTCAAGCATACTGAAATAACCTCCATTGATTGCAGTAGAGGGAAGACAATTTTTAAGGGTGACCAAGTCACTAAATTTGAAAAAAGATACTAACCAATCAGAATCATCCAACACAAGTTCGATCATATGGTAGGGAAGGCTATGATACAGCTCTTTAATTTGATTTCCGTATAGTTCCTTTATAAGTCTGACCTGCATGATATTCACGAGAGAGAAAAAAGATACATGTTTTTTGTATCAGAAATAATTTAGATATACTAGAACATGTAAGTAAAGGTTCTTTATCATCGCAGAGATTTCTCAACTTTCAAAAAAATGATTGATAAATTTATGTTTTGCAGATACTTAATAATGGCCCACGTATAACCTTAATAGTAGAAACAGAATACAACTAATAAAGAAAATAAAAATAAGTCTTCTATTTGGAACAGAATTTGTGTTCATGTACTATCAATGTAAATATTCTTTTACATTGTCAACCAATTAAAAAGCAACCTAAACATGCCTTCTAAAAATAATTATTACTAACGTCAACAATCTCACTATACATGACAAACCAGGAACGGTTGACAAAGTAAAAACATCTACACTATCAATACATTCTAAATAAATTCTCCAAACAAATTCTGGGACACACGTCAAATTCTTACACAAACCCAATGTTTAATACAAATGCAGACATTATTCAATTATATTCCTCGCACATACAGGGGACAAAAGACACAGGAAAATATTTGCACCAATTTCATGTGATTGGGAAAATTTGCATGTTTAAATACCATTCAAGCATTTATTTGAACAATTTGAATAAACATTTAGCACGTTAAGAAATAATGTATTTCTGAAAATTAACTTAGTTTCTTCTATGTACAACTAAAATGTCATTTAAGATTTGGCAAAAAAAAAAAAGTCAACTGAACATTTTATGTTCAGTATTTTCTATTTGAATATTCGTTTGATGAAACAAAGGAAAGGTGTAAATCTTACAACTAATAGTTGACATGGCACAAAAATCTTAATAACACACCGGGTCTGTATATTTCACAACCAATGTTTTTAAATGGGATTGAAAAAAGAACTGCAGCCTGGAATAAACATTTTGATAATTTTCCAAAAAAACAAGGGTAAGGGGAATCACATGATCAGTACCCGCTTGATTGATCCATGAGATAGTGATCTGAGAATGCGAACTAACAAGGATATTTCATTTGGAAGAAGTAAACTATTTCAACAAAATCCAGTTTATAGAGCAGGGGTAAACCAAATGTTACTAAATTGCTTCTGGACATATGGATGCAAAATAGTCAGAAAGTACTTGCTTTGCGCAATTGTATAAATGTAAAACTTTGCCCCATATAGAAAATTTATGTGGATTGTGAATACAAAATATTGGTATTCCAAAAAACTAAACAAATCAAAACTTTCTCATAATGATCACATACATGAACTATCTACCTGTTCCCGTCTATCCACAAAAGCCTGCAATAGATCTCCTACATGATCTATGAATTTCTGAAGCAAACCAATAAAACAATGTTTATTAGAAAATAAAAATTGAAATAAACCGTGAAAAGGCAATTTATATAAATGACTTTACCATTGCATTGGATGAAAGGAGATCATTTTCTATTTCACGTATTGGCAGGAAAAATGGAACTGTGTGTTCAAGGACAGTCATTTTTTCAAGAAATGACTTACTCTCCAGCACACAATGGTAAAACTCACAAGGTTCACCTGGCAATAAATGAACAGGCTTTATCACTTATCATCTAATGGCAAAGGAAAAGACACAAGGAAAGGAAGGAACAAATAAAAAAATACCCAGCCTCTATCTTGTCATTTATATTTTCATGAGCTAAATAATATGGTAGTGTTTGTGAATAAGTTATTCAAGAGAAATTTGATCGCAAATTACCAGCATACGTTGTCTCATATTGTACACCAATTCTTGCGCCTTCCAAACAGCAAATTACCTGGTAACAAATACACCAAATTCCAATATTTAAAAGATGATTTGGTCAGGAAGTAAAGACACAAAATACCAACTAATCAAAGCACACATGAACAATTAAGACAGACCAACAATTTTTATCTTAGAGGGGGAAGATTAAAAAGTTATTAAGAACACAACAAGGAAGAAAATTAGTGGAAAGATAAAATGGAAAATCATGATATGACAAGAAACATGAAATGATGAAGAATGAAGCAAGGAAGCCAATCACTCAGCATATCATAAAAGGCAACTAACTTGAAAAAGCCATGAGAACAATAACAAAGAGGAGCCATAAATATAATCCAATCCCATAACAAGTTAATAGAGACGCATAAAAATGAAAGTGATCTGCTCGATGTACCCTCACCACATAATTGCAGAGATCAAAACTAATTGTTTTTAATGAATAACACCAATTCCTAGCATAAAATACGCCCTCAACTCCTCTTAAGCACTTCTTAGATTTTTTGGTTCTCTCACTCAACTGAAATACACATGACCCCAAACTTCTCATCTTTCACCTGGTCTCATGCCATTTTTCCTTCTCAGGGTATTTTCTATAATCTTTGAAATCTATGGTTAAAGTACTACAAGTATAATATTTTTTTACTGAAAAACAAGTAATTTGCAGTGAAAGGCAGGTGTAGCCATATAATATTACCTTGTTTCCAATTTTATACGTAATTTTATCCAGAGGACATGATAATATGTCAGCATCCCCATGCATTGCTTTTCTGTCTGACTCCATATGCACCTGAGAAGAACAAATGTAAATGTATCAAACTTTCCTATCAACTTCGCTAGTGAAACTGGAAAAAAAAAATTATAATTACAGTGACAACCTAGGTCAAATATGAACAAGTGAAATAAAGGTAAAAGTCAATAACTAATACCCGCTCTCTTATTGTAGCTAGTAGACCATCATTCCACGCATCCCCATCCAAACATATCTCTACAAGAAAAAAAAGGAGGTTAGGAAGCATTTTCAGCAATGAATTACCAAAAGCTATTGGTCAAATTATGCACCACCAAGTGAACCACGATTTCCATCTTAATAATCTTCCCTGGTTAAAATGCTTTAAATCATAGAATTTTTTTTGTGTTTAGTGCCCTTTTCTTATTCCATGTATAAATGGCCCTGGTATTTATTCTACATGATGAGCCAAGATCAACATTGTATATTTTATTTTATTAGGATCCAATTCAATCCTTACCAGTACAAAATTTCCTGTGAATATTTTGACATTTGAACATTGTAAGGTTCCATCATAAAACCAATTAGTAATATGTAGAGTAGTCTAACATGTATTTAAACCAATGACATGAGGCAGGCGATGTGGAACTTCTAACACGCCCCCTCCACGATACCTGCCGGACCAGAATTTTGACCCACAACGAAAGGACAACTCTTGACCCAAGGCAATAATCGGAAAGATGTTAAGTTTTAGCTCTGATACCATGTTAAGATTCTTACATAAAACCAATTGACATTATGTGAAATAACCTAACAAATATTTAAATCATACCAAATGGCATTAGGTAGGCGATGTGGAACTTCTAACAAACAGCAGTATTTCAACCAATAGGATAGCTAATACTGATACCAACTTGTGTTTATATAGGGTAGAGCCAAGGGCATTGAAAAATCTTATTGGTATTTATATTCAATGTTTGGTTATCCTGTTTCACCCCAACCCAGTCAGTGCTTTGTCTCATCTGGTACACAGGCTTGTCAAACACAAAACATAATATAAACAACTAAATTTCCCCATATGATACAGGAAATATCAATCTGATCCTCCAAAGAAAGTTGACATTAATTTACCTCCTCAATCAAGAAAACCAATGTCAAAGTCAGCCTTTTGTGTACAGACCTTGAGAAGACTGTTGGTGGAGCTTCTAAATTAAAGACAATTGATGTCTCAAATCACAATCTGATTGAGGGATTAGATTGGTGCTATTTTCTATAATAGAAGGACTAAATTAATGTCAAATTCATGTGGAGGGCCAAATGATACCCTTTCTATGACTGAGTGGCTACATTAATGTCAACATTTTCAGTGAGAGAAAACTTCATGTCACGAGCATCCTCAGGGGGTAATACAGATATTTAGTCTATAATGTTAAAAAATAGCAATCTTAGGAGAACTATGTTAGGCTAAAACCATGTTAAATCAAGTAAAGCATCCAATGCAATAGTTTTAGACTATTATTAGTAATCTAGGTAACAAAAAAACCAATAAAATATCTTGTAAAAATGTGCCAGATCACAAAGGATAGAAACCGAACAGATAGTTGTGCTATATTAATGAAAAAATTATCAATGACACACATGCATTGCTTGTAAAGAAACTCAAATTATCATTTCACAAAAAAATCTTGTAGATTAACATCTGCTTTTTGTATATCAATTTATTATCAATATTAACATCGTTGATAAAATTAGTGTTTAACTACAGGGATATGAAATATTGGATAGATAGAGGCATCCATATGCAAACCAAAAATTGAAAGGTGTATAATAAAAGTACTAAAATAAAAAAATTGAATAGGCAAAAAAAAGGAACAGTTTGACAAAGGTAAAGAATAGATTAAAGTGCAACAAAGGAAATAAATGGGAAAAAAAAAAATTGAGGCCAGGCAGATCCATATACTGTCTACTACTACTTTATCTCTCAAGTCCAAAGTCAAAGCTACCTTCAGTTTGAGAAGCTCGTGCAGCTTCAAACTCTTTTTGTAGACGCTCAAATACTATCTTGTCTGAATCCCTATGAACCCAATATTTAAAAAATACTGTTACCACAACATACATCAACTAATGGACGTCAAGAAACAATAATAGTAAAAGTGTCATAGAATACATCAAGCTATTCACTGAGGAATAAAGAAAAGAATTGAACATCTTCTAGTGACCAAATGAATCTTGATTGCATGTGAAGTACTTTCAAAATATGTTAGGAATTACACATAAAACATCTATAAAGAGCAGAGAAAAATAGAACAGATCTTTCTACTAATGTAGAATGTCCACACGTGCTATGATGTCAACATCTCATTGCAACAAAAGCTATGACTTTGTACATCAGCCATAGTTATCAAACCCATATAGCATTTAACAAACCAAAAAAAAAAGTGTTATAAAAAGTTAGTGCATAGTGAGATGACCACTACAGTGGAATTATAGGTTTGAGATATAAAAACCATATTTACATATACAAAAAAAGGTACAAGAGAACAAACAGCAGAGAAAGAGTAAACTTGAAAAATCTGCTTGAGAATGTGGAATCTGATGCACCAAAGGAATACAAATGTAACAAAGAGAGAAAGTTGGAAGTATTGCTGGAGACCAGCGGGCAAAGGCCACATAAATCACATGCTGGCAGAGAAAGTTGGAAATATTGGAGAAAGCTGAGTGGGTGTGGTTAATCCAAATACAAGGAAGGTATGATTTCCTTAAATATAGCCAAAAAGTAGAAGATTGCCAGAGAAATGTCTCAGTGGGAAATCCAAGGAAAAATATGGATTCCTTAAGTTCTGGCTTTTTCATTCATTAGCCCCTGATAGGCAAGCAGAACTGGACAGAATTTTGAGTATCAGCTCTACTTATCTAAATTCTTCTCAATTTCCTTCTTATCAAACACGAATTTAATTGATAATACAAGAATGTTCATGTAAAAAGACCAAGAACTCCGACAGTTTCCTCACTGACTACATGAAATATATATCTGATCCCACCCTACGGTATACAAGTAACCAATAACATAAAAGATGCCACAGTATTCAAATGTTAATACTACACCTATTAATTTGCAGTTCAAGCATGTGCACATTGATGACTTTCCAATGACACATTGTACTACAAAAAGAGGCCATACTCATCTTCAATGGTGACTTACCTAGCAAGACGTTCTGTCAAATCTCCATGTCTTTTAAGCAAACTTCCAACTGTCATGGAAAGAATAGAATAACTGACGGTCAATGTATAAATTGGAAATAAAACCAATGAGATATATAGACTTACATCTAGTTCGGGTAATCTCCAATCGATGATCATCATCTTGCATAAAATTCTGACAAAGAGAGAACCCAGCTATAGTTTCAGCAAAGAAAAATTACTAGTAATGCATAGAAAGAGAGAATTGTGTAACTGGCATAAATTTTCCGTTTTTAACTTAAAGTATTGAACATGCTAAAATGCACACTAACATCATGCAAAATTTATCTTCAAATCCATTAGTATACCACTTTTATAAGCACTGCTATTCATTGCTGATTTACAATGTTCTATCAACACAAGGCATCCATGGTATATTTAGGAGAAGAGTTTTAGAGGGAAAGACTAGAGCAAATTGTTTATTTTAAATTAAGAATATATATAACAACTATAAAACAAACCAAAGATCAGGACATTATGTTTATGTTAATCTATCATGTCATTTCTTTCGTTTCAAAAAATTGTCAAATTAGACAATATTTATTACTAACAAATTGTCCTCCTTTTCCTTTCCCTCCAAAACCTAACTCTCAAATATACAATAAGGTCAACATACCCCAGTCTTATGTTGAGTCAACCAAAACAAATGCAAGCAATAATACACATTCATTCCCCTTTTGTTGATGACCTTGAGAACGGGAAATACGATAAAACAGATATCTCTTTTCCTTTAAAATAATAGTTATAACATCAAAAAATGGCTTCATGACATGGCTATCTAAAAGCATTGAGTTGTTGCCCTTGCTTCAAAATTGGAAAATTTAATGATTATTACTCTTCCAAGTAGCTTAGTTATTGTGTTCAGTTTAATTCAAAATATCTTAGAAAATAGTTATTTATTATCTTTTTTAATCATTATTGTTATTGTTACTAATAGATCATTCTGCTGAGTAAGGGTGTCAATATGGGTTATAACCCGTAAGCCAACCCGACTCACCACGGATTTGAGTTGGGTTGGGTTCGATTTTTTGTTTATTTTCTACCCACGGGTTAAGTGGATTCGAACTGGGTATTGGTGGGTTGATCTGCATCTCAACATTCATTTTAAATTTTAAATATAATTGTAATAATTTAGTAACCCTAGTTGATGTTATTCTACCTCTCCACCTTTACTCCATATTGCCGCTACAAATCAAACCTTCACTCAAGCTTATCATCAATTGTCCGTCACACCACTGAATCCGCCGTTGCACTTAGGCTGCCGCACTACGACACTGTGTTTGTTTTTTTTTTAGCGCGCCACCGCTTTTCAGTTGCGTCACAGCATTTGTCATATTTCAGTCCCACATTTTAGTTGCGCCACACGTTTGTCATGCCACTGCGCCAAAGCATTTTAGTTGCACCCTAGAGTTTGTCGCGCCACCACGTTCGCCGCACCACTGCATATATCACGCCACCATACTTCAGTTGCACCATAACATTTGTCGCGTTTCAGTCGCGTCACAGTATTTGTCATGCCATTGTGTTTCAATCCCACAATTTAATTATGCTTATTTAGAAAAAAAAAATGAAGAACAAAAAAATAAATATGGGTTAGTGAGTCAACCCACCGACCTGTAGTGGGTTGAGTCAAGTTGTGAAATTTTTTTTCTGCCATAAAATGATTTGGATTGAACTTGCCTATTTTCAGCTCAGCCGTGTGAGTCTGGTTGGCTTGCCACCCCTACTGTTGAGTGGTACACCCACATGAGCGAATTCAAGAAATAAAATATTTGTTTCTTCTCTATTCTCATATGGTGTCTGACCTCCCACACTAAGGGGCTATGCTTCCTCAACAAAAACACTTTGAAGAAGGAAAGAAGGGGTTGTTAAGCTGTTAATACCCTGTAAACTTAACTAGGATGACTCTGAGTGCTGTCAAGTTTCACTGCACTTCCGGCAAAGTGGTGTAAGAATTTCCACCAGGTGTCACTGCTATCCAGGAATGACAACTATGTTCCAACTAGCTAAGTCATTGCATTTTAACTGATCAATGTATCTCAGGAAGAAGTGACGTTTAATTGTTTTCTTGAAAATAAAAATAGTTAACTAGTTATTTATTTATCTTTTTACCCATTATTACTAAAAACAAATCATACTAAATGCTATATACATAACAATTCAGAATATAGAGTCTTTGTTTCTCTCTTCTCATACCCACATTTAAATCTTATCAAGAACTTTCATTCCTTATTTATCCTCAAGTTCAATCGACATGGATTCTTAGTTATCAATCCTGAATTGCATTGCTGAGCAACCAGATCAGAAAAGAATTTTGGGTGATAGCAAGAAGTGGGATGACCAATATTTTAATATACAATTATAAAATAAATAAAAGTGTTGAAAGTCCCACATCGCCTACCTTATATCATTTGGTATGGTTTAAATACATGTTAGGCTACTCCACATATTGCCAATTGGTTTTATGTTGGAACCTTAACATGGTATCAGAGCCAAAGCCTAACATCTTTCCGGTTATTGTCATGGGCCAAAAGTTGCCCTTTAGTTGGGTCAAAAGTACCCTTTGCCTGGTCCGGCAGGCTTCGTTGGAGGGGGTGTGTTGAAAGTCCCACATCGCCTACCTTATATCATTTGGTATGGTTTAAATACATGTTAGGCTACTCCACATATTGCCAATTGGTTTTATGTTGGAACCTTAACAAAAAGTATACTACATAAATACTCAAACAAAATGAATAAATTCATGCTAAATAGTGTCATAGTTTATTTTATACACATATAATAAGAGCATAGCAGTTCTTGGAATCTCACGGAAATATAGTCAATGTATTCCTAATAAGCACTGAGTAATCCTCACCTTACAAGCATAGTTTAGGGGATTGAGTTAAGCCCAAATTAAAAAATAGTATTAAAGTCTATCTAGATATACTGTTATTAGACCACCAATATTTTGTGTAACCCCCAAATGTCAATTCTTTGTGAAACATTGTTATTATGGGTCTCATCCACATTGGTCCACGTTCTAGATGTATAGTCTTTTGCATGATATTTGGTGTTGAGATCATCAATCAACCAAAAATATTGCTATGGTAATCCTTATACGGCTCAGACAGTGCTTACCTTACAAACCCATTATTGGGTTAAGTTAGACTATAATTTTTGAGCAGTGGTTAATGAATACTGGATTCAAGTTCTATTACATTTCTAAAGCAAAAAACAGCATTGGAAAAAAAAGGAGAAATCACATTATTAACCCTCCCCTACAACATTATTTACAGGGGTAAAATAGGTTTTCAAAACCTATGATGTGGTAGCACTGCTATATTGCACAAAAAAATCTATTGCTGCTGCATTGGCCAATGGCCACTATTGAAAACCACTTCATTATTTAAATCCCAAGGCATCATAAGGCTGCTCTCCTTCACTACCCCGCCATAGCACCACAATAGTGCACTATTGTGATTAGCTACAACTCATAACACAGATCTTATAAAAAGAGATCCTGCCATACCCACAAGGCATTTTGACCCTATAAAATAAGAATGAAACAGCAAGAATCATTGCACTAAATTTCTAGACCTACCATATCCATATGTCAAATTGACTCTAAAAAATAAGAATGAAACAGCAAGAATCATTGCACTACATCTGTGTTCTTTTTTCCTTTATTCATGCTCATGCAAGTCAGCATCCGATAGTATAAACAATAATAATGCCAGTTGAAAGAAATCCAAAAAGGAAAAATAAAAAATTAAAAAATAATTCTTCACACTTTCATCCAAATCAAAACTTAATAGTATAAAAGTGAGGAAGAGCATTACCACTTCCCCCATAATGGCAAATGGCCGTCCAGGATATTGTTCAAACTGCTGCATGATTCAATAATCCTCAGTTCATAAAGAAAATAAATAAAAAATTATCAATCATGAACGAAAAAACAATAAACTCATCAACATCATAAGGGGCAAAACAATGTCACAATTACCATTTACAAATAACTAGTATTACACTTGAAAAAACCCACACAAGACAACTTCCTCAAATTTAATCAATACAACTCATCAGAAAACCACCTTATCTCTCAATAACCTCACAATTACGTTAGGGAAGGTAGGTCATCATGCCTCCGATCAAAGATAGCTTAGAAGAAGTAAGTTGAATCAAACAAACATATCGTTCCAGAACATTCTACAATGAGGTAGAGTCCTAGGTAGAATTGGGATTAATAGTGAAATTCAGACGTACAAACACTACACTAGGTTTTATATTCACTCACTGATAGTTAAAATTTGCAGGTATTCTTAAGCAATAGTTGGAATTTGGAACACAGTTCCATGACTAGAGAGAGAGAGAGAGAGGAACCTTGCGAGAGGATGAATCGGCGAAAGAAGGGTATTTTCTGGGCCTCTTCCGCAGAGATTCTTCCACATCGCTCTCCATTTCAATCACAAAATATGCCTTCTTCCACACCCCGAACTGGCAAGAGTCACACTATAAGTGTGAGTGCGGCCCAAACACGAAAAAAAAAAAGGTACCGAGATGGGATTTTTCTTTGGGTTCGGCCTGGTAGAGAGTAGGCCGTATTCCACACAGCCCATAAACAAAATATGCTTTCAATCTTCAAACAGTTTGAACACATAAACTAAGATTTATTTTATCTTTTATGTGATATAAATCTCTAAGTATTTAAAACTATAGGAAAACTAATACTCCACTTTTAGAATTTTAGTTTATAGATTGTGTTACTATTTAAATCAATGTTATTGCTCTGGCTTAAAAAATAATATTCAATTGCAATTTTTATTTTCGTGTTTTAGGTGTAGAGGAAAAACTACCTTTTAATTTAATTATTTATATTTAATCGTTTCTATTTTCTAATTGTTTTAGTTATCTATGGTAAGTTTGTTTAATAAACCTATTTTTATTCTCATTTTCTCAAAATAATTTTTCATGAAATTTTTTTATGTCATTTCCATTTTGGGAATTTGAAGGAAGATTGAAATTAAACTATCAATAATCTTCATCACTAAAACCATGGTGGGAAATTAAAACTACATTCTGTAAAACATCAATCATCCAGAAATCAATATGGTGTAAAAAAAGAAATAATAAATATGATAACCACAGTCTTAAACAAAATATACTCTACTTACTACAATATTATTATAATATGCAGGAAAAGAGACAATACAGTAAAGAAAATAAATCTATGCTTAGAAGCATTAATTTAAAGTCAACTTTTTAAAAGTGAGTTATCAAATATGTGCCATAAAATTCATTATATATATTAAAAAAACACATTTATTATTCAATCATGTTAATTTTAAAATTCATTATCCTCCTAACAATCATAAAAAGTAACACATAATTTAATCAAACACTGACTCAAAATGCTTAAAACAAAGTAAAGAGTACAAAGCTGAACTGATCAAATAACCACAAATAGATCAAAATCGGAATTTTATTAAATTTTGTTTTTTAAAATCGCATGGTTTAGTTCAAAATTAACATTAAAAAATGAACTAATGACATATTTTATTTAAATATAACATTATATGTTTAATATTAATTATCAAATAATAAACATATATAATTATACTTCTTAATAACTATATCTAAAATTTAATTATATTTTATTTTTCATATATATATATATATAGAGAGAGAGATATAGATATAGTTGAAAATTACTAACTTCAATTTATGAGTGAAATGTATCTGCCATACATTTAATTTTCCAATATATGTGTAAGTGTATGCCGGGTCTTATATGTAGTATAAATATTGTTGGTCCAGTTTTTCAATTAATTTACACTGCGATTGAATAAATGCAATGATTTTATGCATTTTAATACAAAAAATTATAAAATTAAAATAAATATAATTTTTTGCAAAAAATAAAAAAGAATTGGATTTTATATATACAATCGATTAAGTTAAAAAAAATAACAACATAATTTTGTTATTATAATAATAAATAATTAAAAAATTATATTAAAAATTATAATAAAATAATTAAAAAACTGTTAATAATAAATAAATTCATTTAATTTTTTACTCATTTATTTTAAGTTAAATAATTTCAATTTTTATTTGATTTTTTTACTCCCTCAAAACTATTATTGAATCCAAACAAAACATTTAAGTTTTGTATAGGTAATATGTATCAATATTAGTAAATTATGCAAATTACTAAAAATTAACCTTTAAATATAATTAAATAACAATACAAACAATATTTACATATTTTACTTTTTTTCTTATATATATAAAGTTTATACAACTATCAATTTGTTAAGTTTCATATTATTTTTCTTAATTATGTAAATATTTTTTTATTAAATAACTAAATATATTATTTTCATTATAAAATACATTTAAATATCGTTTAAATATTATTTTTCAGAATGTTTAAAAATTCATCAAATTATCGTTCTTTTCACATCTTAAATGAATAATTTTTAACACTCAAAATAATTATTTATTTAAATATATATTTTATATATTATATTTAGTTGAAAATATACGTGTGGATTTAAATTTTACATTAAGTTAAATTTTTACAATAATATTTTAAAATTTTAAGTTAAAAATAATGTTATATTATCTTTTTAAGGGTTTATTAAAAAATAAATATATTATTTTAAAAAAACGTCAATTAATTATATGAATAATATTATAGTTAAATAAATATTTAATTTTAATTTATTTATTTATTATTTTTTTAAACGTAAATTTTATTTTATTTGTTCTCTTTTTCTTTCCTTTATACATTATTTTTTTATTATCAAATTGATTCAAAGGTTTTAATCACTTTGAAAATAATCAATATAATTAATAAGTTTTTCTTTCAACCACTTCTAATTATTCTTGTTTTGATTTGGTTTTATTTATTAAAAATATTTATTTATTTATTGTAATTATAAAAAAATACATAATATAATAATTTATTTTATGCAACTATAAATACACACTCCTAACTTGATAAAGAGAATATAAAAGAAAAGGAGTTAACAATAATAATAATAATAATAATATTATTATTATTATTATTAGACCATATCATTATGTACGTGTAAAAAACTTATTTTAATTTTCAAATATTTCTATAAAAATATAAACAAATACAAAATATATTTTTTTAATTAAGAGAATAAGACCCGGTTGTATGTAAGAGATATGAAAAAAAAAAAAAAAAAAAAAAAGAAGAAGAAGAAGAGAGGAAAGGATGGTTTAAGCAGATATTGAGTTGCCAAGAGAAAAAACAAAAACTCAATATAAAATCACCAACAAATAGAAATAAAAAATAAATAAATTGTAGAGAAAAAAAAAGAAAAAAAAAAAAAGTAAGAGAGAGGCAAAGGCGAAGCTTGGAAGATTGAAACCCAGTGAGTGAGGTTCGAGATTTGTGAGCAATTTGTGAACTTTGCGAAGGTCAGAGTTCAATCAATGTATAACTACTTTGTTTTCCCCCAAAACACTTAGTCCTTCTTCTTTCTCTTCTTCATTGTGTTTCCTTCCGTTGCAATTTGAATTTTCTTTGTTTCTTTGGTTTCGCTTCCTATTTTGTTTTTTGGGGCACCTTAGTTTTGATCTCTTCCCCTCTACTTCGAATTTCGAAATTCGAAGTTCGAAGGCACGAAATTTGGCGAAACAATGGGGGTTTAAATTGGTGCAGTGGTGTAATGTTCGCTTCGTGCTGTTCGACACAACAATGGTGTTTCGGACCCGGGTTTGGTGATTCAAACTTAGGGTTTTGATATGCCATTCAATTCAATGAATTTAAGTTTGATTTGCGGGTTTTCGTGCTCGGAGTTGGGGAGTTTTGTTGCGGTTTGATCTCTAGGGTTTTGGTGGGAGGAAGGTGGGATTTGGCTTTGCATTGTGTGTTCTATTCAATTGCTGAATTTGGGTTCTTTTGGGCGTAAGGGTAACCCTGTTTTTCTGCAGAATTGCAACTTTTACTGTGGGTTACTCTGTCATTAGTATCACTCCACATCTTGTTGTTGATATATGTACGGATTGTAGTTAGCTGATTTGGGAATTGGAATAAGCTGATATGGGGGAGGGGAAGTTTAGTGTTCTCTGGAAACGGAAAGCGCTGCAATTTGGTTCATATTGAGGCTTCTGCTGGGTGTGTTTTCTTTTTATTATTATTATTATTATTATTTGTTGGGTGTTGTGAATCTGTTGGTCAGAAATGCAACCCCAGCTGAGCTCAAGAATTGATTTGGGTGAATTGAAAGCACAGATTGTAAAGAAGCTTGGAGCGGATAAGTCAAAACGGTACTTTTATTACTTGAACAGGTTTTTGAGTCAGAAGCTGAGCAAGACTGAGTTTGACAAGTTTTGTTTCCGAGTGCTTGGGAGGGAGAATCTTCCATTGCACAACCATTTTATAAAGTCAATTTTGAAGAATGCTTGCCAAGCAAAGACTCCACCACCAATCCATCCGCCAGGTCCCCTGAAGTTTGGAGAACATGCTTCAGACATATCTCCTGGTAGAGAAGATGGGCATGAACAGAGTTTTGCCAGCTTCCACAATCAGAATCAGAAAGCTCCCGTTTGGTCAAATGGGATTTTGCCGGCATCCCCTAAGGTTAGGCCTGGAATGCGAGAGCGGAAGATGAGAGATAGACCAAGCCCTCTGGGACCAAATGGGAAGGTTGATTCTGTTTCTCATCAATCCATGGGTGCGGAAGACTGTGGTAGTAAGGTTGATATGGAGAATGGAATTCTTACTCCATGTGATTATCAGAGACCAATACAACATCTTCAAGCTGTTGCCGAGCTACCTGAGAATGAAAGGGGAGATGCTGTACGGCGACCTGTAGAAAAACCAAGAATACATGGGAAAGGGCCAGCTGAAATGTCAATTGTTGAAGATGGGGAAGAGGTGGATCAGTTAACCCGCATGGGTTTCTCTAGAAGTCCCTTGATGGCTCCACTTGGGATTCCTTACTGCTCAGCAAGTGTAGGAGGAGCCCGCAAAACATTGCCAGTGAGTAGTGCTGGTTATTTTGATATTTGTTGTGACAGTGGTAGGTTATCCGATACAGAAACACTGAGGAGGCGCATGGAACAGATTGCTGCAGTACAAGGTCTTGGAGCTGTTTCTATGGAATGTGCAAACATGCTGAATCATATGTTGGATGTGTACTTGAAACGGTTGATCAGGTCTTGTGTTGATTTAGTTGGAGCTAGGTCTACAAATGAGATGAGGAAGATCCCTGCCCCCAAACAGCAGATGCAGGGTAAGGTCATCAACGGCATGTGGCCAAATAATCATTTACACGTGCAGTGTGCTGGTGGGTCAGCAGAAGCTGTGCCAGAACATAGACCACCGTGCTTAGTTTCTTTGCATGATTTTAAAGTTGCCATGGAACTAAATCCACGGCAACTTGGAGAAGATTGGCCACTGTGGTTGGAGAAAATATCCATGCAATCGTTTGAAGAATAACAACTTTATGAAAATTTGTCTTCTAGTTCTGATGGGTCAGCAATAGTTGGTGATCAGTGGTCCTGTTCTGTACCAGTATGAACCAGACAGCGACAAATAGATTCTTCTAGCCCTTTCAAGATGAAATATTGGTTTTGAGCTTCAAAGTGTCTTATCTCTGGATTCTCTGCTATTTGTAGGGCTTGGATAGGTCAGAGATTTATTTAACTGCGACCAAGGGTACCATCAAATCAAACCCAGAATTGGTTGCTCTGTTGTATGATTTTAGCATTGATGCTGGCTGTGTTTGCCATTGCTAAAGATCTCAAGGCTTTTGTTTGCATTACAGCCAATGAGAAAGGAAAGAACTAAGAAAGTTTTGCAGGGATACTGTTGTTTAGCTGGGTTCAAGGAACTATGACTTGTATAAGAGCTGCAGGGTCGCTCTGTATGTATTTTTAAAATCTGAGGATTGATTGAAATTCAATATCAATAACACATTAACATCTATTGAAAAAATTTCCTGCTCATTTTAGTTTTATGGTTGCAGTCCCCATCAATACCCTAAGTAGTGTTTTTGTTTTCTAGTCTTGTGTAGATTTGTAGCGTACACCATGTTTTTAGTTCAAATTAAATTGTTGACTGTAATTGTTATTTTCAATAAAATGTGAGATTTTCAAACTTTGACACATCTTCTTTTCATCGTTTAATGTACAGAGTTATTTTTTTCATCAATGCCTATTGAGGTATCCTATCCGTTCGATCTTTCATTATCTCTGCTTTTTAGTCTGTGAAGAATGGAGTCATATTTCTCCTTGTACTAGTTGATCATTAACCAGTTTGATGAATTTGTTTAGAGTTTGACTGATTCAAGTCGCTATTACATTTTTTAGTCTTAGTGGCATATGGGATGTGATATGTAATCTAAGAAATTTTGGAATTAAAATCAGAGTAGGCCTAAAGTGCATAAAAGTTCTACAGGAAAAGTTGAAGAAAATAGTTGATTTTTCATTCAATTCTCTTATATGATTTGAACAGTTCAACTCCTATATGTATATCTATATATATGATTGTTTTATTTTACTGACAGTTATGATATTGAAAAGTGGTGGTATGATAAACAAAAGTTTTGCGGGGAATCTGGTATGTCTGTAAGTTAGTTGTGCAAATTCAGGCAGATTGGAGGAGGTTACTTGCAAATGGTTTGTTGCATGTCGCTTATGATTATGAATGCTGTGGAGGAACAAAGAAACAGAAGAGACTTTTTAATCATAATCATGCCATATCTGGATTTTGTACTATTTGTTACAACTAGCAAAAGGTGAAATTTACACAATATGTGAAGATAATTTCATGAATTTATAAAATCGGTAAATATTCATAGCTCAGTGAAAAAAAAAATTCAACATGTTTGAGATGCACCCAAGCAAAAGCAATAGTAACATGATGAATTGGATGAATTTTCAAATGGATTCGACATTTAATCATTTTTAACTGTTTACATGCTACTGATCACCAATTTTTCTTAACACGTGCTTTAGCTTGCATTTTCTGCTCCTGTTGGAATCACACTTACGGGAGGAAATGCAGAAAATTCCATGATTCTTTCGGATTTGTCATTACGTACTGATTGTTTGATGGTCATTTTTAATTGATTTTCCTTCTGATCTTGAGTTGAACACACGATTGTTTGATGGTGCATGGGTCGCTAATTACCTATGTTGCTTGGATTTTTGTCTTCTTATTACCATGATTCAAATTTATAGACACTAAGCTTCAAGTGTTAATGCCAGTGACAATACTCCATAGTAAATACCCAAGGTGGACTGTTGTATAACATGTTGCAGTAAGCAACCCTTATCATAAATTTTGGAAACTGATTTGATCTCAATACTAAATGACTATTGAAGTTTCCTTGTTTATTATTACTTCTTGAACAGTTTGGAATATTTATTCTTTTCTTTCCTTGGTTGTCACTATCGTTAATTATACAACGTAAAAAAATTTGTGAACCAAAATGATACTGGAAGATTTGTGTTTAATCTACTGATTTGTTATATTTATTATTTATAATATTGACTCGGTTTTAGTTGCACTATTTCTTATAACTTTGAACAGCCGTGTGTGATCTGAGTGGCTGTTATGCCTGGCACCTTGTCAGTCTTCTGCAGGCTCAACTAGTTTTGGAGCTTTTCCTAAGATACTAAGATTCAGGTAACTGGTAGAAGATTTGACGTAGCCCTCAGTGCAGCATTGTTTAGTAGAGAGGAGAAAAATAGCTTGGATGAAATTAAGTTGGTACAGTGGAAATAGATGGGAAATAAAGTGAAAATTACAAGTGTTTTGTCGAAGAAAAATAAAGAAGAAATGAGGAGAGAAATAGAGAAATAAGTAGAAGTAGGACATTGAGTCGTATATTCTTTTTAGTTATTTATTTTCTCTTTCTCATTCTCCAAACACGATTTTAATTCTATCTTTCAATCTCCACCCATCCTTTCCACTAAACCCAGAGTATGTTTGGCAGAGATGACAGAAATAGGTAAGATGAAAATAAATAAGTAGAGTAAAAATAGATGAAATAATAAAATGAAAAAATTTAGATATGCTTGATTGAAGACATTAGAAACAAAAAATCAGAAATAATATAGCGAGTATTACTATTTTTTAAAATTATTTTCTTCTTTTTCTCTCTCACCAAACATTCTATTTTAATTCTATCTTCACTCATCCTCACAAACAAACAAAGGGAGAGAGCCTGGGTCTGGGAAAATTTGCATAGCCACTTCTACCTAATCTGTCATTTTCTGTTGAGTGCCAACTCCTCAGTTGGTGGTTTTAAACTTTCTTTTAGAAGTATATAGGAGTGGCCATCTGTTAATTTATCAAGGTTGAGACAATGATTTCCATAAGGCTAAAGTTAAGGTGGATATCAGGGTACTTACTATTTCGTTTTCTCAAATGACCTTATTGTGCCATTCTGCTGTGTACTTTATATAGGATGACGTGCACTCTCTGCATAAAGTGGAACAAGCATACTGTTCAGATCCAGGCGATTCTAGGTCCATTAGGTTCTCAGGTGAGTACTTATACAACGCATGATTCTGTCACATCCGGGAAGATTAAGAATGTACTGGCTGAAGAGGGGTAAGGTAGTAGAATACATAATGCTTGTGACTGTTTTTCTCTCTGCTTCACTATGAGTACTGGCACATTTCAAAATGGCATCAAGTTGATTTTCGAATTTATTTCTTCTAGAGTTACCATCTATACATAAATTTCTTTAGATGTATTTGCTAGAGTTTTGCTCTACTTCTGACTGGTCTTTATTTTTGTATTCCCATTCAAGTATGAGAGATTGGACAGTCCATAGCCAGTTGAGTGAAAATTTAAGCTTATATCATCGTGGTATGTCTTGATAAAACGTAAGATCAAGATGAACGAAAACATGGCAAGCATTTGATGTTATCCTAAATTGTAGTGATCCTGAGACTAAACAGTAGCGATAAGCCATGGCTACTACTATTTTTGTTATTCCATGTTCCATGTTTTTGGCAAACATACTAACACTTATGCTGCCAAAAGGGCAATCATATTTCATAATCTATCAGGAAAATATATGACTTGCAAGAAATCTTGAGCAACAGCATTTTTTGTACTGTTACGATAATTCTATTCGGATACCGTCATTTGCCTTTCTGACCAAATGTATTTAGTTGCTTTATCATGGTATTGATATGAAGATTATTTAACTTGGTGCATTTTCAATTGAAAATTTAATTGTTTTTAATGTATTTTCTTTTGACACTTTATATTTAAAGATACTCACTATTTTTCAATCTAATAATAGAATTTAGCTTAAGTTTTTAATTTATTTTTAGAGGGTCTCATTTCATCTTTTTAACTCAAGCAGGAACTCTAACTTTAAAAAACGTTTTGTTTTTATGGTTAAGCAGCTTATTTAGCATTGATTTTCTTTAAGAACTGTGACTCATTTGCCCTATATAATAATATTAATTATCAAATTGCTTAATGGATAGACTTAATTAATATAAACAACAATAGAGTTTTATCAGCATAAATAGTCTGATTTTGAACAATTTTGGGAGTAGATAGTTTTTTTTTTTTTTTTAAATCTGGACATTAGTCTTTATATTCTTAAATTCTTTAAAGTTGTTAAGAAATCTGTTTGGTCGAGTTTTCTCATGAAAAAAAGGAAAAATTAAAATTAAAATATTTTTTTATAAATTAAAATGAGTTTACGTGTAAACAAATTTATAATTTCTCTTTTTTATTTTTAATTTATGGACAAGTTAATTTTAGTTTATTAAAAAGTCATATTATTTTTTCTTCTCCACAAATATTTATAGAAACATTCATCTGACTTACTGTCACCATACTTTGGATAAATAAACAAATTTGAAATCTATATATAATGGACTGAAAGTATTGATTGCTAGAATTAAAGATATAAAAATGAAAAGTAAAAAAAAAAAATGAAGTTGAAAATGATGCTATTTTATGTAATCTGTTATGTAAAACAGTATAATAGATTACGTTGTTCAACAAGATTAATTATAATATCTTATTTTTTGCATTTTTCTACGGTGAAGAATAGAAATTAAAAATGCTAGGTTTCGTTATTTTTCTACATATATTTACGTCATTTCATGTGTGCTTACCAATAAAATCTGTATAATTTTTCCCTTCTCATTTGATCCTGTCGAATAGTACTTTTCATAACCTTTCCCTTGGAAGATCCAAAAGCGAAAAACATATTTTTCATCTCTTCGAACAAACCTCTCCCTGGTCCCTTTGTTGAAAAATATGCCACCACACATCTTTTGATGAATATGAATGAACGGTTAAAAAATTATTTACTGCGTGACATTAACATCATGTAACATTATAAACAGATGCATGCTCGCTACCTTGATCGCTCTCATAAAGTGTTTAGGTGGAGTCCTTCGGAAAAATAGAACTAAACATAAGTATAAAAACATTTCCATAAAAAAGGTATTAACAGTTAACTGAACCAATCCTTAAAGAAACCGAAATGTTTTATCCTGTAACACAAAATTCTTGGCACTACTCGTGAAATATAAAAAATAAAGAATTTCTTGTTTTTCTAAAAAAAAAAAAAGTAATTGGAAAACCATCTGGATATGTAAACACGGAAATATTCTTCTACACAAAAGAAATTTTACCATTGTAAATTACACATGTCAATTATTCAGTTCAAAAGAAATTTTAACATTGTAAATTATACATATAAATCTAATATTATTCGGACCCTTTTATTGTAGTTTCTAAGTTCTAATAAAAAGTATTGCATTAATTCCTTTATCAGCCTTTCAGACTCACCCGTCCAAAAATTCTATTTGACCTGCCTATTAGGAATTCCTTATCTAATAACTATCTATATTTAAATCTTGATTAATAAAAGAAAAAAGCAAGAACGAAAGGAATTTTCAAACAATATTTTTCCCCAAAATCACAAAAACTTGTTTTATTAGGTGAGATAACTAGGGCTACATCTAAAGCATAGCCCCACTATTCCTAAATATCAGGTTTTGAAAAGTTGTCAAACCCCTTTATCGCAATGAAAGTTGTACTATAATGAAAGAAAAATAACAACTTTTGGCTACCCTTTACTTTTGCTTAAAAGTTCTTCAATGGTGGTTATGTATGAACAGGAAAAAAGTAACTGTAAGATATTTCACCCGCAGCTTAACAAAGAAGTTCCAGTCTATCAAGCCAGTGGCTTGGATTATTTTATAACGGGGATGAAAATATTGGTTATGTACAAAAGACCAATAAAAATAAGTGAAGAACAACTGCATTTTGTACAGAAGTGATGAAGAAAAAAATGAACAGAGAGAGGGGTACAAAGAAATCAGTCTCCCTCGTCTGGCCTAACATATTGCAATTGATGGAATCATTGAGATGGGGATGAATTTGACGGTGCCACTGATGCTTTGCAAATAGGGCACCAGTTCTTGAGCCGTAGCCACTGCTGTATGCAAACCACATGATACATGTGTTCGCAATGCAAACTCCCCAATTCATCCGCAACCACATATTCCTCCTACAAATCAAGCCAATTAAGTCAAGGATTCCTTTTTGAAATGAATGGAAATGTGTTGTATTAAATGATTATATAAACCTTACACCAAAACAATATGCTTATAAACCTTTACAAAGAAAATACTAGTTTCAATTGGACAGAATGCGGCAGACCCTTTTTCCAACCAACATTTAATTTAGCTCTGCTGGAATCAAATGTCAATTCAATGATATTGTCAATCAAATCATACAGGACGCAGGTAGATCATAAATCCATCATGGAAAAAAACCTTAGAGCCATGATGGTGCTTAATGACACACTGTCTGCCATGAAAGGTGCAAAAGACTTAATTTAACGAGAGAAAAGTACCTGGCAAATGCTGCATTTGGTGTCATCCTTAGCTTCATTGCAACTGTCAGCTGCATTTTCAGAGGGTGAGGACTGGAAGAGACTTTTCTTCAGGCATTCTGATAGCACTTCCTCTGTTAGAGCTGTACTCACAGAACCCATGCTCTCTTCCAGAGCCAGCAGTTGCTGTCATTCATAAAATTTTGGGAGGTGACAGTAATTAGAAGATAAATTTTACACACAAATTGCACGCAGAAACAAAAATAGAATCCCTTTCTCAAAGCCATCTCCGGCAACTCAGCTAAATTCAAACCACTTCCTCCAAAGTTGAAGTAACGTACTACCAATATACAGCACTTAAAATTCCATTTTAATCTTCTTTGTTGTTCTAATAGAGGAAATCAAACATACAAATATAGCAAGTTGTATTGTAGTGCCTTATGATATTAACAAACCTCATATGACATGTTATCAATGTCCAATCGCATGTCTCTATGTGGATCATGGAAGTTAAATCCAGTAAGGAACAAGTTGGATTCCAGTAAACGAATTTGCTGCAAAGACAACAAATGAATGCATCAAACAACTGGTACATTTTGCCAAATAAATCTTTAGTCAAGATTTACCTCATGAGTTAGCTCAACATCTTGTTCAATCCTCTCAAGTGCCAACATTACCTAAATAAATTATGAAGAAATAATTTTATGAACTAAAACATTAAAGACCATTATAAAATAAAATGTAATCCTTAAGTAAATAGTGAAAATTACCTCAGCAATACTACTACTATCCACATTGTACCGTCGTCGAAAGCTATCCAGATTCATTATAGAATGAGTGAGGCCATATTCTGAAGGAGATACAGGCACGACACCAAATAACTCCTCACTGCCAGTACCTGGTCTACTATGAGAGCTCGGACAACTTAAGGAACTATTTACAGAAGTATGATGTGATACACCAGAAGCATTACGACCACCAGAATGAGGCAAAGGTACCATGATAACGGACTCATTGGGTGACACGGGATTACCATTTCCTTGGCTAGAAAGTCTTCCCCTGGCATGACCACTAATTGATTTTCGAGTTCTAACTGGTGCCATGTTGCTATCTGACCTGTCCCTGTGAGGAGGAGTATTCCTAGATATTCTTGAATCAGAAATGGATATGCCATTTCTGGAACCAGAATTTCGTCCTTCTAATGAAGACCCACTCATTTTCTTCCCTCTAGCAGAGGAACTACCTTCCCCTTCACAATTTCTCTTTTTTATCATCTCCTTTCTTCTGCTAAAGGTTGAATCTGAAGGTGAACAACCAGCAGGGAGGACATCAGAAATAGAGTTGCATTTGAGGTTCCTCAATCCATACCTACTGGTACCAGCACGCGTCACTGGACCCGTGTTTTTAATATCTTGACCACGTATTCCAGGCTTTGGATGAAAATTCCTCCGAGATCTTGAATTGGATACTACACTAGAGCTTCCTACTTCCATTATGACATTACCAGACACTGTATTTTCCATTTCAGTTTGAACCCCCGACTGACTTTTTTCAGGGGGAGGGGCCAGCTTTGAAACTTCTGATTCATCCTGTACACTACTAGTTTCAGATGAATCTGTCTCTAACTGAGATGATGATGATTTCCGAGGCTTTGTAAGCGGTTTTCCTGGGCTACTAGTCTTGGGAAAAGTTCTAGAGGAGCTTCCAACTGCTTCCTTCCCAGCTGAAGAAGATTGGATTGAAGGTTTTAAAGATTTTCCTTTTTCAGAAGAACCAATTTGAGCACCTTTAGAGGAGTTGACTTTGCTACTGCAAGTAAGGCGGCTGCACACCTGACCATTTCGGTCTCTAGCAGTAGCAGTGTCTCGAAACACATGACCCATACCCTTTCTAGGGACTACCATCCCATCAATGGCTCTTTTACCAGAATATCCATCCATCAATGGTGTACTCCCTTCAATTCTGTATAACGTTAGAGTGGTATATTAGATCATAAAAAAATCGACAAGCTACACGAGTGCCAAAAGTTTAATATATATTGTATATAAGACAATAATTTTGCAAGTATCTTGATAACAATCACTTGTGTGCAGAACTCTCAATTCAAGCCACAACATAAAGACTTGACAGTCTAAGACATAAAGACTCCACCCATGATGCTTAAATTTGGGTGCATATACCATCAAGGGATAGGCCAATTTCCCACTAATATCTACAAACTGTTAAAAACTTGAATTATATACCATTGCAAAATTTCTTCACAGACCTTCTTTATAATCTCCGATAAATAGTTCTAAGCATGATATCATGAAGTTAAAATATATTTGTATATACTTGAAAATTGGAGTCATAGGGCATATTCATTTAGATTCTTACAGAGGAGCTTCAGTTGAAGCTTAGGAAATCCATCGCAGAAAATATTGCGTAGTTGGAATTTAAGTGAAAGGGAGAAACAGAAATATTTATAAGATAAAAACAGGGATCATAAGACAGTCATTGTTAACATGGTCGTGGTGTGTTAAGGAGGTAAAGGCAGCCAATCTCAGTGAGCACTTACAAAGCCCCTTGACTAGAAAGTTCAATAAATGCAAATATTGTAACAACACTTGAGCTATTCTCACGCCAAATTCATCCTCAGAAAGTTTTATTTCTCAGAATATTATCGTAGATTCAGCAGAATCAATTAATTAAATTTTGCATGTTGAATCAAATACATGCTCCGGGAATTTGAACCCCACCAAAGCAAGTAAATTGAATAACATACAAAAAGGTTAGAGAGCATGTAATGTTTAAAAGCATTGCATATGCGAAAAAATAAGAAATGCTAACAAGGATAAAACAAATACACAGATAATCACTGTACCATAATAAATAAATAAAATCTAATCATATAGTTAGAGTTCCAAGAAATATACTTAACATAAAATAAAGGCTATCGAACAGTGTTTTTTATTTATTTTTTCTCACTTTCCCGTGAACCAACAGGGTGCTAACCTATCCTATAAGCATGATGATTCTCCTTTAATTTCTTAAGATTACAAAAAACCTGAAGCACAAATCTTCATCCAGAACATTCCAAAAAGGAAGTGAATCAGAAAACAATAAACCAATACACGATCAGATTACGGTGAGCCCCAGCCGTCAGGAACAATGATCAGTCAAACAGCAAAGCAACATTTTTGACGAGGAATCAGAGAACCCCAAATCCTCAAAACCAGACTATGACCAAAGAATCACAAAACTCGAGAAACGAGCATGATTTTAAGAGTGAAACAACAACAATAAGTGAACGAACGAGAAAGGAAGAAGAAGATGAAGAAGGGTAAAAGGGGGGTTTGAAGGGTTGATTCCACAAAAAGTGGGAGAACGCTTCGTTTTGAAAGGACGAAGGTTTGCATCCAATATTCTCCACACAATCACAAATACTCCGTTTCCGCTATTTCAGCGCTGAAAAGAAGCTCAACACTAACCACACCATTGACCATACTCACCACCCCAATCCCAAACCCAATGAATTCACCTAAATAGAAAAATCAAAATTCCTAGCTGCACCTATTCCCCCCACACAACCAAACATTTGCACCCATTAATTTCACTTTTTCATCATCAAAATCAAAATTCAATCATCAAATAAATATCTTTTTATGATTATTATTATTATTAGATAAAAACATACACACATGGCCATGGACCATCGCCAACAAAACTGATGCACACAAACAAATTTCATTCATCTATTTTTCAATTAAGGTTGGTTGAAAAAATAATAATAATAAATAAATTAGAATCGCTGAGTAAAGGCGATAAAATAGAATTCCGTTACTACCTTCTTTTGTTGCGAATGAAAGGTGGAAGGAACAGAGAGGAGAGAAAGAAGAATGGTTTGATACAGGGAGGAAGAGAGAAGCAACGTTGAGTATTGTAATCCAACAAAGCTCTTTTAATTATAAGTTTTTTTTTGTTTTAATTTTTTTATGGTTAGGGAGCGAACCTGGAAGAGAAAAAAAAACGAAAAGGGTCGTTGTGGCGCCGTCCTAATTGAAAAGCGAGAAGAAGAGATCTGGGCCGTTTATGGGGAACGTTGGAGGAGTGTGAAAAATGGAGGGCGTGGATTAGGCGTAGTATCACACTCAAAGAACCTGGGTAGGAGTAACGAACGTGAGGTTCATTTTGTAAGCGCAAGAAAGGAATGGAAAGCCACTCTCATTCTGTGTCAATGATTCAATGAATCTCAAACCTCTATTCGAAACTATTTCTATCGACCTTGGGTCTCAACCATTTTCAAAAAACCAAATGTTCTATCTTATCTTTTCATTTTCCTAAGTTCATGTAATTTTATTCAAAAATTAAACTTTATTAAGTTAAATTTTGTTTTTACAATCATGAAATGTTTATTTATCACACCCATAATCGAATTTGAGTCCTCCATTATTATTTGAATGGTTTTTTTAAATATAATAAATTAAACAATTTTCATAAATAAACATGAACTAAGTAATATTTATATATATAATCGTTAATATTACAGTGAAATCGAATTATTATAACATTATAATATTTAAAATATTGTAAATGTGAATAGTATCATAAATTAATAAGTAATGATATATTTGTTGTCTTTTTTTCACAAAAATTAAAGTATTATCTCATATTTTAAAAAGTAAATACAAAATTACGTAATCTTCTATACTTCAAGTGAATAATGAATATAAGGTTGGTTTTTTTCATATATTTTAAGTAATTAAAAAAAATAATATATATATATATATATATATTTAATAAAAATATTTTCTATTTTAAAATATAAGACATGTTAAAAAAAAGTATCTGTAAAAACTTTTTAAATAAATAAAAATAAAAAAAGTATATTTTTATAACTTAAAATTAAGTTATGAATTAATATATCAAAATTCCTTTATATGATTTTTAAAATGTGTGTCCCCTTTACCAAACCCACTATTTTTTTTCTCTCTTTATTTTGTTAATTCAAGTTACTTTGTGTGCCATGAATTGGATTTGGTTGATTTAATAAGTTAAAGCATGGAGGATTGTTATTTAAAACAAATTATATCGAAATCAAAACACAACTATTCAACTAACCTCCACAAATACAATTATTGTGAGACAATTTACCCGAAATAGATTCTGTAAATGCAAGTGTAACAACTATTGTGAAGTTTTATGGCGAAAATATGCTAGATATGATAATATATAGGAAAAAAAGATGTAATAAGATAATAGTAAAAGAGATTTTTATCTTATCCTCTGTTATAATTACTTCAAATTTAATTAATAATTTAATTATATATTATAATATAAAACTCATAAACATATTAAAATATAATCTTCCAAATATGAAAATTATTCTTAACCATATTATTATATCAGACACTTTCGATTTTAAAAAGTAAAAAAAATATTTAAGAAAAAAAATTATAGAATTATTTTTTAATCAAAAATTTTAAAATATTAAGAACTAAAATAATACATATAATTAAAATGAAAAAAATAATTAGATTTTTAGCATCTAAAACATGCACATTATCCAGAAAGTCACGAGAATGAGCATAATTAATGGAAAATATATTTTGTTTTGATAATGACACGTTCCTGACGTATTATTTCCTTTATCTTTCCATTTCCCATCAAAGTGCCAGCAAATTCGTTGCATTATACTTTTTTTTTACATACTTCTTATTATTATAATATTTCATGGTTTTTATTTTTTAATTCTTTACACTTATTTGATTGAACAATTATACTCTTAAAATCTTTATTTCACGTTTAATTTATGTATTTTAAAGTTTAGTTTTTAATCTCTGACGATAATTTTTTAAAAGATTATTAACATAATAATGCTTGACATTGATATATTAATGTAACTAATAATATAATAACATACCACTAATACTATTGTGAGATTGACGCGTTGATGTGACATTTAAATTAACTATACTGTTTTAATATGTTATGGATTAAAACTATACATTTAAAATTTAGAAAAAAAATTATATTATTTGTAAATAAACAATTTAAACTTAAAATCTGTCTAAATTACTTCTTAAACTTTATCTTATTTGTATCATTAAACTTTATTATTTTTAAATAAACACCTGAATTTTAATATTGTCCTAATTAATGTTGAAACTTTTCAATGTTTTATAAATAGTATTGTACAATATTTGAGTTGAATAATATGCATTATGTAATCTCTTTATAATTTTCTAAATTAAAATATTGTAAAAATAAGATAGTAATAATAATAATAAATAAATAAGATTGTTTAGTTTCTTGTCCGAAGGTTTATCATGGATCCCAAAATTAGAAAGTATTTTGGACGACAAGAAAGATATTTATAATAAAATTATAATAATTAAAAAAATGTTAAGAAAATAGAAAACGTAATAATGACAAAACTTTAGAGATAATTGTAATTTTACACTAATTATAAACATTTATATGTTTAAAACAAAATCACAGAAACAAGCCCAGTGGATCCACGGTCAATAGCTTATGCTCTTAATCCAACGGTGCTTGATGGTGGTAATAAAAGTGAGGTAAAAGTAAAACAAAGTTTACCGTAGTAAAAGGTAATGTATGTATTTGTTGTATATGGGTAGGTTCTGTTCTCCCAAAGGAATAGTCCATTGAGTCAACAAAATTTGGTAGTATATATTAAATAAAAATGTAAAACTTTTAAAGTTATATCCCCACTCACCCACTACAAATAGCAAATGGGACCATAGTCTACGCACTCACTCTCAATTATCATCACATTGGAAGCTAATTATTATCTCTTGTTTCAGAAAACCCTAATTACATTGTGATATGTTATTATGATATGAAGAAAGAAGAGAGGGTGAAGTTTGACTGGTTGCATGTAAGCCAAGTGTGACAAGGGGAGGAGATGGCGCATGCTCATTCCTCCACCACTCTCACTTGGTGATGTAACGCTTTTGTTAGCTATACTTTTGTTTTTATTTTGGTTCTTGTTTGTTAGCTAAACCTTTAGATAAGCTTAACCCTATCTATCTGGCTACACACCAATAGCCAAATTAATCCCCCAAGAACAACAAAACCCACAAAAGAAATGAGTGGGGTTGGCACTGCCCAATTTGGACCACTCACTCCATTAATACACACTTGAATCAAACCAAATAATAATGGACAAATTGGCTTCGTCCACTATGGTTGGCCTTAGCCACCACATAGTTATTGGTGTGGTGAGTGAGTGAGTCTTGAAACCCAAGCCTCAACTCAACTCAACTCTACTCTTGCACCTCAAAACCATTTCTTCTTCAACGCCAACATCTTTCGTTCTGCTTCGTGGGTTCCACAAATACTCCGCACCCATTAATTGGAGACGCTTTCTAACACCTAAGCCTCCAACGTGGTTACCCCGTAATCAAGATTTCCCGTTTTTTTAGCTACAAAGAAATAAAACAACATAAAATGCCTGCCAAATGGAGTTCCTCATGACACAACCTTTGAACCAACCAAGCATAAAATAAAAAGCCAGCGTGGCCTGTGTATGCTTGCAATTCCAAGAAATCAAACAAAATTCAAATTGCTAACTAATAATTTAATAACTTTGCGTGGTTTAAACATATAAAGTGTGTAAACCGGTAAGCAAAAACTGAAAATAAATAGATAGATTGATTTGTGCCGTCTATTTGCCGGTTTTTGAAGTTGTGATGATAACCTATTGGCAATAAAAATAGAGTAAACCACGTGTCTCGCTCTAACTAAAAAAAATTTAATCTTCTTCAGTTGCGTGTGAGTATTTTCTAATAAATGTGAATGGTCTTTCTCGAAAGTTTAAAAGAAAATATAAATAGACGGTGACGTTTCTCAATTCTCACATCTAAGTGTTTATAAACGACAAAAAATGAATGGAAAAGTGAATAGAAGAAGGGTGATACGTAATACTGCCAAATGCAAAGCCTCCACAATTCTCCGGCTTTACCGCGTAATAATCTCTAATTGGGCCTGGCCCAACAACTCGTTGGAAAATAACCGGAACAAAGAAAAGCTTTTGCAATTATTAAAAAAAGTTTTATAATTTTGAATTTGACTCAATATGAATGCTTGCTTGTAGTAGTTATAAATTATTAATAATACTATTTGCAATTTTATTATCATCATGTTCTTAAGTTAATTTTTTTTTTCATATTCAAATGTGAGATAACCAATGTTGCAAGCTAAAATTTGAAATAAATAAATAAATAAAGACTTTTCGAAACATTTTTTTATCTGTTTTGGATTATAATGGAAAAGGTCAACCCTCCAACCCAGTTGTTTCGGTCATTCACTGCTTTGTCTGATAAAATAAGACAAACTATTGTTTTGATCAATGAAAAAACCTTGGTTTCCTTCACAAACACCATTACAACCTTAAAGTTTGTGCAAATTTTGCGCTTCTTTGTGATATTATTAGACAGCTCAATCCCCTTTTTTTCTGAATTTTATCATCCAACCAATTCCCTTCTTCGTTTGGCCTCTTTCTTCATATATTCTCATTTCCAAAGCAATTTTATGTGTGCCCACAAATTCACTCTTCCATGAACTTTCTTTTATCAAGGTACGTTTTCTGAAGCTGGCTTTGCTTGTTGCAAATTCACTCTTTTTTTAGCTTATATTTGCATCGAGTTCTTGAATATTGCTTGCTTCTCCTCGCACCAAAAAGAAGTGCAAGCTAATCATTGTTTCACATGCCCATTAGTTGTTTTTCTTCTCTTTTCATTTTGAAGGAACATAGATTAGTTTTAAAACTATCCACATTTCATTCATGATGATTAAATTCATTATAATACTTCACTCAAAATTACTTTACGTATATTTGCCTTTTTTCTTTTACTTTTTGAAAAATATATCGTGATCTTCTTTTCATTTACAATCAATTTGTTAGTTATTTAAAAGAAGTATTGGGACGATGATACATTAACGTGGAAGATTTTAAAAAAGAAGAAGGAATATGTAATAATGGGCTTAGATGTCCAATCATGACAAACTTTCTTGTTTTGGTGAAGTTAGAATAGTTTTTTCATGTTATTCTATCGTAATATTATATTTATTTTTTGCAAATACTTTTATCGTGATATTTTTAATCAATTCTGGTTTATATATTTTGTTGTCATTGATTGTAATTAATGCATCTTATTAAGGCTAATCAACCACAACACTGAAGTGAGAAATTGAACTCATGTTTAAGTGATTATAATATTATAATTATTATTTAAAAAAAAGGGTTTTTAAACCTGTCATTATATTTAGAAAGTGGCTAATTTATACTACCAAATGCATGTTGATTTGAATAAATTGATAGTGAGGTAGTTAAACTATACATGGCAACAAAAACAAGAGACTCGAGTGTGGTGGGAAAGGAGAAGAAGGTTTCATCTTCAAATTCTGCGACAACAAGTACCAAAAAGACCCTAACCAAGCCATCCTCAACGAACAAGGCCACCTCAAATCAATCAACAGATAAACAAATCCCTAACTATCTGAAGCCCACATTAAGCTCAATACGCCTTGAAACCCACTCCTCCTTCAAGCTTCCTAAGAATGATCCTCCCACCAAACCCACCCTAAATCGAAGAAGATCTTTGGACCCATCATCATCATCTTCAAGGGTACCCAAACAAGCATATTCATCATCTGTTTCAAGACAACATAAGGCCCTTGTGTCCCCTGGTCCACGGGAAAGGTCCCTACCATTTCGAGCTTCGAGTGCGCCAAGTAAAACTACTCTTAACCCATCAAAACCCGTTCCAGAGAGGCTTTCAAAGACCCCAGTAGGAGGAAGAACTCAATCACTAAGTGGGAAGACGGTTAAGAAGAGCAACAATAACGTTTCTACTTCAAATCCTAAAAAGGTAATAACTCGTCATGCTTCTGTTGACTCAAATAACATTTCAGAGAGTAGCAATACTTCTGAAACAGAAGATAAAGAACCTGTAAATGAAGTGGTTGAAGAAGTGGAAAAAGTGGAGAATCTAGAAGAACTCACACATCAAGTCATTGACTCTGAACATGAAAATGAAAATGAAAATGAGCATGATCATGATCATGGAAAGCAAGGAAAAGAACATGAACATGATCCTAAAGAGAATGAGGATGATCATGATAATGAAAAATATGAGAAAAAGCATGATCATGAAGAGTGTAAGCAAAAGCTTGAGGAAACTGATCACCCTCATGTTCAGGAGGATGGTGAGAAGGATATTCCTAATGTCTTAGAAGAAGACCAACTAAAAGAGAATGATAATACAAACCAAGATGAATGCAACATTGAAGAGAGTCATTCAGAAAATGATAATACAAATCAAGATGAATGTAACATTAGAGAGAGTCATACAGAAAATGATAATATAAAGCAAGATGAATGTAACATAAAAGAGAGTAATTCAGAAACTGATAATGCAAACCAAGATGAATGCAACATTAAAGAGAGTCATTCAGAAGTTGGTCATGCAACAATTGATGAAGTTGAGGTCAAAGAAGAAGAACGGGAACAAAAACAAGGACAAGAAAAAGAAGAAGGTGAGGTTGTAATAGAAGATTATGAAACTGAGACCAACAATGAAAAAGAGGCCGTGGACGAGAAAAAAGGAGTTGAAGAAGAAGGAACAAGTGAAGAGATTAAAGAATCAAGGGAAGGAGAAGATAAACAAGAAGATAAACAAGTAGAGAGTGAATTTGAAGATGAAAAAGTTGAGCTAATAAAGCAAGTACAAGCAAGTGATGAGGTGCAAGGACAGAAAGAGGCTCACACTTCAGTATTCAACGATGCCATTGAAGAGAATACGAACAAGCTATTGGAAGACAGGAGGAATAGAGTAAGAGCATTAGCTGGAGCATTTCAAAATGTCATTGACCATCAAAAAACCAAGTGAATCAAGCCATCATTGTATAAATATATGATGTGCTATAGTATTAAGAAATGAAGTAGAAACAAAGCAGAAGAACACCTAAATTGAATAGACTTTAATGTTTGCATCTTTCTTACCTCGAGATGGGTTAGACATGTTAAACATCTGTTGATTTTTTCAGTTATTTGATTTTCACACACATATATATGTAACATAGTAACTTATGTATACAATTATAGGGTTTAAATGCACACTTGTTAATTTTTATTTTTTTAATTGTTACATACTTCTAATCTATTACCTTTTAAACATTATGAGATATCAGATTTTTAACCTTCAAGTGTTCATTTATTATTATTTTTTTATTTGTGTTCGGTATATTTATATACATTTATTTTTATCAGTTTTTATAATATTTAGTAGCATCCTAAATATAAAGACAATTATTTCATTGTTAATATATTTTTTGTGAGTATTATGTTCATATATGCACTTGAATTTTGCGTTTTTTTCATTAATTTTTTTTAAATGTATTTATTATCCAATTTAAAATATATTTTAAAATTATATTTTATTGATTTTGAAAATATTAGTTTTAACGATTTCATATATCTATCAATACTTAAGATTTGAAAACACAAACTACTTTTAATCATTTTGAAGATTTTAGTTTCAATACTTTTAATTATATATCTAAAAGTATTTAATATTTGAATAAAATAATAAATAATTAAAAACTAATTATATTATTGTTATTATTGGTAAGAAAAAATAGTATTATTTAAGATTTGAATAGAATTAAACTAAAATAATAGTATTGTAATCTCTTTTTTATATATATATATATATATATATATATATATATATATATATATATATATATATATAGAGAGAGAGAGAGAGAGAGAGAGAGAGAGAGATCTTATTGGATACATCATTTAAATAAACTAATAAATTTTTGGTTTGACTTTATTCTTGATATTTTATTTTTCTTTCACAATTTTAGTCCCTTAATTTTTAGTTTTATATATGATTTTGGTTTTTGAATTTCTTCTACGTAATTTTGATCCCTTAATTTTTTATTATTTATAACTTCCGTTCAGTTTTAAAATATATTAAACTATTATCAAATTATATTGGATAACAAATCTGTGTCTATAATTTGTTTTACCCATGAATTTATAACATAACCATAAGTGATGTTGACCTCAGTTAGTGACAATGTCCAAGTTGATTTACCAATCCAATTACAAGATTACTTGGATCGAAATTCTCAACCAACATCCTATATTTAAAAGTGTAATATATATAAGAATCATGATTAGTTGATTACTAATTATATAAAATACAATTAATTAAGAGATAATATTCTCACACCTAAAATTTCACGTGACCCACTTGGATAGAGTCCTTCTTGTGAGTGTTGTATGAGAAATTGAAGAAAAAGAAAGAGGAGAGAAAAAAGGGAGCATTATCAGCTGTGTTCAACACATGCTCTCAAAGTTAAGATTACTTTCATTATTTCTTTAGCAAGAAGAAATTCAAATTAACCAAACTTCAAGACAATGCTGAATTATTTAAAACTAAACCCGACACACAAATTCAGACATATTAGACCATAAAAAACCAGTTCCTAGTTACCATAAAAACTATCTCTTATACAATATACTTTGGTTCTGAATAAACTATTCTCTCCAAACTTAGTTGTCTCCGAAATTTAGCAATAAATTCCTCAGCCCTTCTATCAATATCATCTTCCGAAGCAGAAACCATTGTTCTTCTGCATTGGACCATATAATCCGCAGTGATTTCTTCATTCTCAAGGAACCTTTGCATGCCCATTTGTTTGTGGAACAAACTGCACCATCTTTGTTTTAAACTTGTGGTTACACTGGAATGCACTCGCCAAGAGTGCATGAGAGTTTTCAGTTTCCTCATCGACCTATGTATTTCTCTAATGATGAATGGTGAAGATTTCTTCCTATTCATTTGCTCATGCAGAAGCTAGATTAATAATGGCTCATGATCATATGCGAGTGTGTGTTAGTGCTTTTATAGGATAGAAGCTTCTTACAGAAGACACAGTACTGAGATAAAAATTACGTAAGAAGATTCGTAGCGCGTAGCTTAGAGGGTGAAATGATTGCAACAAGTGAAAGTTTTGGGTAATTACGCGGTGGGTTTCAAGAAATAGTGTAGCAATAACGAATGTCTTTACTATGATGTTGTCACCAACCAGATTCTAGATGTCAGATTCATTTCTAGGAAACAATTCATGTATTTTCCTAATATATAAAATTCTTAACATCGTCTCTTATATAAAAATTAGATTTTGATCAAACTAGATCTGAGTACAAATCAATTTAATAATTCAGTTTGTGAGATAAAGAGGCAGAGGAGAATAGAGAGGGAGACAAAAAAATTATTCACAGAAATTAATTGATAGCTTATTGTTGTTTATGAAATGAGTACAGTGAAAGAAAATTGTTTCATAGACGCGTTGGTTGCGTCGTTGGTGGGGCCTGTTCTTTGCTTAGATGCATAAGTTTTGAACTCCGGAGATCTTTACTATTCCATTGGTTGGGGATGAAAGTGACGAGTGAGAGATTGAGAAAGTCACCAAGAGACAAGCCAAACAATATGTTGGAGTTTGGGGGTTTCTGAACTTAACCACCAACAAAGATTTTTCTATGTTCATATATAAAAAATATTCTTTTATCTCGAGAGAAAATTATAAGTTTAACAAATTAATTTATCATTAAAGATTTATATAATCCATTTAGTTTCAGCATATGTTTAGTTAAGTGGTTATATCTTTTTCTAATATTTTAAAATCATACTTTTTATAGAAAAATTATTTCTATGATATAGTGCAAACTTAAAGGCTTAACTTAGATAAAAATAAATTTGTTTAGTTAATTAGAAAATATTATTTTATTTAAAATTTTATAATGTGTTGATTTTTGTGGATTAGTTGTGAACGAAATAACCCTATTGGTTATTTTATTTTCTAAATAAAACTTGTATTAGAATGTTTTCTCTTAATTTGAACACAAAATTGATATCACTCTTAACTATTAATGCAACATAAGTAATTAAATTATTAACCGTCTCTGTGTGAAATTACGATGTGATTTAAATTAAATAAAAAATATTAATTATTGTTCAAATATTATATTTTATTTTTTTAGTTTCATCAGTTTACTATAATTTAAATTTGACTTATTTAATTTTTCATTGAAATATAATATTTGAATAAGTGTTTGATGAGTTTAAAAATTGGATTGTATTTATCTATTTAATTAATAGAAGAATTCTAAATAAATGGATTTTAATTAATTTTTTATAAAATAAAAAAACTAATATAAAATTTAAAAAATTGTTTGAACTTTTTGGTCTTAGTAAAATAAAAAATAAAATTTTAATATATATTTTTTAAAAGATATAATTTATTTTAATTTTTTATCTTATATTAAAAATATCAAATCAAAATAATAATTATTTTATTGTGTTTATATATATATATATATATATATATATAAAAGTTGAAGAATCATGTGTCCTGATTCTCGTGTTTGGAAAGAGGCAAACAGTGTTTGAAATTGTGGATGTTGGGCCAGGGTCTGATCCGACATGGAGTGGGGTCCAATGGGCCACATTTCATTTAAGAGTTTGACATTGTTTGTAGGACATGAACTGGTTTTTGTAAACTCAGTCCATTATCTTTTTCTCTTCTATTCATGTCATGATTGCTTAATTCTCTTCTAACATTATGCGTTGACCAACACAATGTAATTGATTTGTCCACCACCTGTGGTGTTTTCATACTTGGAAAGTGAAGAAAATAACAAAAGTGTTTTGAGGGCACTTTATGGTTGCGGGCGACCAAAACTCATAACCAATTTACATTGCCAAATTTTTTTCCTTTTTCAGAAAAGTGCTCCATGGATAGAAAGTTTTATAATTTCAGCAAAATTAAAATATCTGAATTTTAAAGGTTAAATATATTTTTTTATTGCTTTTTAAATTTTATTTTGTGTTATTTTATTATCAATATAGTTTTATTTTCTTTTACAAATATATTTGTAATTATGTAGTATTATCCAAAAAAAATCATAAATTTAAATAAAAAACAATTATTATGATTTATATATTTAAAAAATAATAAAAATAGAAAAATATGATATATAATTAATGGAAAAATAAATATATTTAATGAATAGAAAAAAAAATTATATTTAAAAAAAAATCATATTAACGTGATTTTGAGATGATATGCTTATTGATCTCAAGTTATATTTTATTTTGATATTGAAAGAAGAGACAATGGTGTCTCATGTTTTTTTTTTTCTAAAAAATTGAACCAAATTAATATTAGAACAATTCAAAAATATAATTATTTAACAAAATTTGAATTATTTTAAAAAATATTTTATTTGATTAATGATTTTTTTAATTTTGATTATTTATTCGGATAAAATATTTCAATTTTCTTTAAATATAAAATTAATTTAATATTAAATAATTTTAAATATTTAAATTGTATTACAAATATTTAATAATTTTAGTTGTTGCGTAAAACAATTATAACTTATTTTAACCTTAAAAAAATATTTTTGTTAACATCATTTGAAAAAATGAAAACAATTCTCATTTGCATAAAACGAAATTCGAAATAGTGTATCTCAACCTCAACTAAGTGAAGGCCATTTAATTCAAGATCAATCCAAAGGTATCCGCACCAAACCTAAACAAAATATGATGAATGGACAAACAAATGATAGTGAAGAAAAAAATTAAAATAAAAATAAAAATTTTATAATTTTAGATAACAAATTAATCTTATGTATTTTTGAAATTTCCAATTTTTTAAATTCTATACAAAAATAACATATTTTCTATAAAAATATTTAAAATTTTCTATTAAAAAACTTCCTCTCCTCACTTTCGAATTTTTTTTTCTACACTAACACATAGTAAAATATCACATTGTAGTTTTATTTACCTACGTAACACAGTTTTTTTTTAAGTTGATAATTCGGTTCCTGATGCACAAAACCCAAACGTGATTGCATTTTTTTTTTAAATCATTTAGAATTCGGTTTTTAGGCAATCAAATTCTGATTGTCTTTTTTTTGTTTATTTTGTTAAGAAAGAAAAACTAAGTAAAAAAAGAAAAAAATAATATTATAATGTTTTATTTAAAATTTATAGTTTTAAATTATAGTTTCAAAAAAATTATATATTTATTAGATTAATAATATATTTAGATTTATTGTTAAGTAAAATATTATTTTTAAAATATATTATTAAATATTATATTTATATTTTATTTGTATGATTAAATTTTTTTAACTCTTTGATTTATTTGATATTATAATATTTTTTTAGAAATTAATAATAAATTAGGAGAATAATAAAAATCTTAAAAATTATATGTATATAAGATGAAATAATATTTTTATGTAAATTATATTTTTGAAATGTTTTTTTTTGTGTTTTGTAATGTTTTGGAAGATATATATATATATATAGATATATATATATATATATATATATATATATATATATGTTTTATATTTTAGAAATGAAAATAAGTTATAGATAGGAAAAAGAATGTATTAATATTTTTGAAATCCTTTCTACATTAAATAAAAAATTTGTGAATAAAAAATATATGTAAAATTATAACTTTTTATTTTAAATTTGTGGAGTTTGAAATTATAGTTTTAAAAGAGTTATATGTTTATTAGATTGATTGTATGTATTAAATTATCTTTAAAAAAAAGTTGTATGTTTAAGAAATAAAAAATATATAAGTGTAATGTAATTTACTAATATGAATTTAAATTCTTGTAAGAATTTAAGAATTGATATGTTATATAATAGGATATGAGAACATTGATAAAAAATTGAACAATGTATAATTATAACTAAATAGGAAATATATTTATTGAATGAAAGTCATTACACCTAAGATAGTTTACATTTCACCCCTCTTATATGTCGAATCCAAGGGTTAAGTTGTTCCCCTAATTCATACACATGTGGTAGAGGTGTATATCTTGTTTCAATGAACAGTTCGATGTACTGCCACGTGTCCAAGCGATACATAAAAAAGTTCATACATTGAACTTTTTTTCAGCGGTTGATCATTTTGCAATATCATTATCTGATTTGATTTCAACCATGTCATGTATAAGTATGTTATTAATTACCCTGACGGGACAAAGGCAATCAATATTTTATACTATGGAACGATTCCTACAACGTATTCTTTGGGTTATTTTTTGTACAAGCTCATCAAAGGTGAAATTGTGAGAGATTGACATGGTCAGAGTAGTGTCTGATATGAAACATAGCTCGTAACCATATGAGTTATCTTTGATGGCTTCTTGTTTGGAAAGTCCTCCATAGTATAACTTTGCTGGTGAACGCGGGAAAGGGTTTGGGTTTGTGGAAGAGGAAGAGGGATTTGGTTGTAGAAGATCAAGTATTTTCCTCAGCCGACCTTGTGAAGGTAACAAACAATTCCATTATTGTGTTAATGGGTGAATTAGACTTACAATTAATCATTTATGCAACGTCAGCATATGTTGATATTTGACGAGCATCATACACAATGACTCCTTCATCATTGCATGTGGGTCTTTGGAAGCAGAGTTTGTTAATGGCTGTGGTAGGTGGAAGTTTTAGAGTGGATGACATTTTCTGGTTCAAAAGGTTGAATGTGTAGTTGTAAGGAATGCGAAAGAACTTTGGACTTTCACATTGGAACTGCACACCATTGTCAGATTGAATGATTTTTCCGTTTGAAAACAAGGCTGCAAGGTAAGAATTTGAATAGTTTTCTTGATCGTTGATGCCAAAATTCTCCATCTGAGAGAAATGGATGTGTTTATTTGTGCAGGGTGGTGGTGGTGGTTGTAGTGGGTGCGTTTATTTTGCAATAAAAGAGTATGATAGGTTGAATATGGAGTATTGGTATTTATAGGGAAAGTAAATTTGGGTGTTAGTATGGATTGAAATTAGAAAGACTTCATCCATCAGCTTTAAGTGTAGTACAAATTCATATTTCCCTAGGCACGTTTACTAAATAGAGGTGATAGGTCTTGTGTTAGTTGCAGGTTACATGTGAGGGCATTGATTGAGAGAGTGAATGAGTCAATGCATACTAATAGTCATCAGCTTTTACACTATGAATAGTTCATATCTCCCTCATAGGCACACTTACCAAATAAAGTTGATATGTCTTGTCTTAGTGGCATGGTGCATATGAAGGTCCTTCAAAACTCTATGCTGAAGGTGGAGTTGGGGCATACGCTCAAAAAATGCTTGGCGTTCCTAAATCAGAGAAGGAAGAAATTGAGTGCCTTCTTGCATCCATAGTTCCTTATGCTTCTAGAGTATTGTAATTGTGTTCAATGTCATCATGTTGAGGAGGTTGTGCATGTGTTGAAGTCAATGTTCGATGCATCTTCGGGTCTAGGGATGTCAATGGGGCGGGGCGGGTACGGATAGTAGCTCCTCGTTACCCTCCCCGCAGGATAAATATCCGCCCGTACCCGTCCCCATATCCGTGCGGGTATCCGTTATGCAGGTACCCACATATTTTTTTAATATCCGCGGATATCCACGGGTACTCGTGGATATTTAAAAAATATTCTAAAAATATTTAACAAAATATTTTAACTATAAAAAGTTATAAAAAATTTGTATAAAAATCTATAAAAATGGTATAAAGTTATAAAAAATTGTATAGTTATTAAAACCTAAAAAAGATCTATATAAAAATCTATATAAAAATCTAAATTTTAGATATTCAATCAAAGATAACAACATCCAAATAAAATATAATACATCATTATCATAAGTTTCAAACAAAGTTCAAATAAACTCAAATTCATACAAGTTCAAATAGGCAAAGTCATTTCTTTACTAATATATATATATATATATATATATATATATATATATATATATACACGAGGGTATTTTCGTAAATTAGAGATTTGCGGGTACGGGTAACCATGGGTACGGATACTATGATACCTGTACCCGCCCCATTAGCATCTGGGCATAAAAAATACTCGTACCCGTTACCCACAGGTATCCATTTATAATATCAATTTTCTACCTGTTGTGGATTTTATCCGCAGATACCAGTGGGTACGAATTTTTCTGACATCCCTACTCGGGTCATGTAACATTTGTGGAACGGACAAAAACAAAAATGAGTTTGCCACAAACCAAGACATATATACTCACTACTGTGGAAAAATGGTCCTAAAAGTGGTAATCCGATCATTGTCAGATCACACCTGTTCTTCCATACGTCTATCCATTCCGCATGTCTAGTAGCCCAATTCTCATCATGTTTCCCCCTCATGTCTACTTTATGTAGATCATCAAGGTTGTTGGGTGAGTCAGGAACATCTTGTACTAGACGAAATTGTAACTTCACCCTATCTGACTGGTGACATTCAACAATTAAAAAACAAAGTAAACTTGTGCAAAAGGTCCACAATGTTTGGTCTCTGTATGCTTTGGCATAAATGATTGACTTCATCCCTCATACGGAACCTATATAAACTATGTCACCAGTACTAAAATGAGAAACTTAGTAAATTATGAACATTAAAAAGTGTAGTTAAAAATAGAAGTGAATCTTGTTAGGTTCAATGTGGTCTATCCTTGATCGGTAGCCAAGTAAATCATTGTGAGAGACATTTTGATAGTTCAGTATACGACCCCCGCTCCATCTGCATACACGTGGGAACGTCAATTGAGTCCGTGAAATTGGTGCAATAAAGGGCATACAAAACCATACGCAGAATTGTAATAATGACGCACAAGCACTCATGGTCTTCGCACGCAGATCTGTTGCTCTACACATCTCCATGTACAATAAAGCTAAGCAAGTAGAACACCAACTATATCGTCGAGTTCTGCGAATATTACTTAAAAATTTCAAGTACATTAAGTGTACCTTATTACCAGTTTTATTAGGCATTAAAATCCCTCCAATCAATCCTAATATATATGCCCTTGCATGGGCATGTATTTCCTCTATATTTGATTCCTCTTGTAGTGAGACCATATTTTCCTTAAGCCACTTTAACTTTACCATAGACCCTATCAGGGACTCCCCCTTTGTAGGGATAATACATAATAATGTATGACACATGTCCTCCCAATCAAACATCGTTGGTCCAATCACAGGTGGATCATCAATTCTAAGCCCCAATTGAAGTGAAACATCTTTCAATATTATTGTGCATTCCCCGGTGGACAGATGAAAAGTATGTGTCTCAGACCTCCACCTCTCCACCAAAGTTGTAACTAAAGCCCTTTGTTCTGCGTCCTATATAGCCAAAAAATAACATTGTTTAATGAGAAAAAAATAACTTGAACAATAGTAACAATAGAACTAACACATCATCAAAGCAGTGTAGGTAGCTTTGTGTTCTTGTTGTCTCCACAACAACATTTTGTTAACCTTCTTTCTTCAATCCTGACTAACACTCTTGCAAAAATTGTAGTATATGATTATGATGACCGTAAGTGTGGTTATTAAAACTTAGCCTTTCAAAATATGTAGACTAAAAGCTTGCACGCTTAATAAAGGCTTGTCGGACCACGTGCAATGTGGATCTAAATCCTGTGCGTTAATCTTCACAGATTCAATTTAAATCCTCCGATTAAAGTTGATGTACTTTGTGACAAAGACTAAAACCTGCACGCATTATTGATGGTGGTTAAACCTCGTGCGGTGTGGGCTATTTTTTATGGTTGTCCATGAGAGCAGGGTGCATGTGAGAGCATTGACAAAGAGATTGAATGAGTCAACGCATGGTAATAGTCATCAGCTTTGGGAAGTTATGGTATGACACAATACCATTATTTATAATGTCATAATGGGCAGTGTACGTTTTTTTAGTTAACAACTGCGATTGAAAGCACAAAAATTGAATGCACAGGATTCATATCCACTACATAAGGCATACTGCTCAGCCATAATGACACGACCATGCTTTAATAAACCCTGTCAGACCTCGTGCAGAGTGGATTTAAATAATGTGTGTTCATCTCCACATATTTAACTTCAACCCTCATATTAAAGTTGGAGCACTTTGTCACATGGACTAAAGCCCTCACGCGCCATTCATGGTGGTCAAACCTCGTGCAGTGTGGATCTAAATTATATACGTTCAACTCCACAGATTCATTCTTAGCCATTAGATTTCGTATGTGGAATTATCATTGTTGTTGGCCCAAGTGAACAATTGTCCTATAAATAGAGCAACTTATAGGTTGTTCGACCAATCAACTCAGTGACAAGGTACTACAACCAACAATGACACCTACAACTTTCACAGTGTTGTTGTACTTCAACGACACCATTTTGACTGAAGAAAACTACTCTGAAACATACATTAGCTCTCAAACGGCTTGGGTGATCATAACAAACACAATGACTATGGTCGAAGTGAAGCAAACTATTCTCAACCACTTCAACATGTCAACAGTAAACGAATATGAAGTCGACTTACAATACAGGTTACCAATTTTCATATCTGCCACCACTGCACATTATAGATCATGTAAGATATTTGTAGATGACAATGTTGAGACATTATTTTTAATGGCAACAGAACATGTTACAGAAGTTCATGTTGAGATCATGGCATTTATTACAAAAATGCACCAAAGCGCAATCCCGTCTGAAGTTTATTATGATTTGGCTAATAACTTCAACTAGTCACTAAACTTAGATTTATGATCATGTACGTTAATTTCTGAAAATTCCATGAACCTTATGTTATCACTATTCTTGTCATGTGTAATGAGTATTTCAATCCATCCAACATTATCATTTATTTTAATTCAATTAATCTTATTTATGTTTATCATTATATAAAAAAAATCGTATTAACATTATGACGTAAAGTTATGTGTAAGTCAAATGATCACACAAGGAAATATCCAAGTCACATGATGACATAAGGTGTGGTGCGGGTCACATGATCACGTTGGTTAATGTGCGGGCCACATGATCACCTAACTTTTGGCTATAGAAAAGGGATTTTACCACAAATTTCAAACCATAGTTATTCAAAACTTTTCTTTGCTACCACTCATCAGAATTTTATTCCTCCTCAAATGACACCAAAGATGTTTGCATGCATCTATGATAATGGTGACATAATTCCTAACCCAGAAAATGATGTTTTGTTTAAGTCTGACACCTGTATCATGGTTCAACTTCATAGAAGTTTCACATTTTCGCAATTAATAGAGATAGTATTGCAACGAGTGAAGAAAGATCCAACCAATCCACCTCCAGTCTTCTATTTCAGATTTTCAACACAAATTTGTGGCAGACATATGACTTACACAACAACAAAGATTGAAGATGACGATGACTTGAATGGAGCCATGAACATCGCAGAGGTCAATCCAACTTTGAGATCCTTGGAAATTTATACGACTTACAACACATGTATTTCATTTTTTCAGTCCAATTATTTTAATCATTCTCATGAATATTAACAACCCTTACAAACCCAACTCACACATCAGTCATTTGACCTTAATGCCACATATATAGGGGAATGGGAAAATGATATACAATCATACACCCAACTCTTTACCGGTCCATCGACCTCACAACTTCTCCCATCTCCTACATATGTTGACACAAAACAATTCTCCTCTCCTCCTCTACAAGAAAATGAAACATTAGACATATCTTTGTCGTCAGTAGACCCATTTAGTGAGGATGATGATGACATCCTTATCCAGCACGCAGATGATGAAGAAGAAAACATAGATATCCCTCCTATACAATAACAACCTCATTTATCTCTTCAATACAACCCGTCCCGACACTTCCAGTCCTATGAACAATTTTTCCAACGTGTAGACCAACAATATCCTCATGCATACAACTACTTTAATATTCAACATGACACATTCGAGCATGAACCTAGTACATTAACTGAGGGAATGAGGTTCCAAACAAAGAAACAAGTCATAGATGTTTTAAACACATTTCATATCACAAACCATTGCACATACAAAACGACACACTCCAACACAACAAGGCTGATGGTGCAATGTGTCCACCATCAATGTTTATGGAAGTGTCAAGTCATGCTTCGAACAAGAGATCAAGTATGAAAAATAAGAAAAATCGAAGGATCTCACACCTGTACCACACAACTCATTACACAAGATTGTAACAGGTTGGGGTCACATATAATTTCCCAACACATTCGTGAGAAGGTCAAATCTAACCCATCAACACCAATTGCAACAATCATTGCTTCCATTAAGACCTCATTGGGCTACAAAACAACGTATAGAAAGGCTTGGTTGGCCAAGCAACAAACAATTGAACATATGTACGTAAATTAGGAAAAAGCATTCAACAATTTGCCACGGGTACTACAAGTAATGCAAATATTTCTTCCTGGTTTCGTATACCAACTCAAAACCCAGGTCATAACTGATGGCGAGGAGGATGTGCAAAACGAAAAATATTTCAAAAGAGTATTTTAGACCTTCAAACCATGTGTTGATGGATTTCCCTATTGCAAACCGTTAGTGCAAGTGGACGGAACATTTCTCTACGGGAGATATAAAGGCAATCTTCTAGTGGTTGTAGCACAAGATGAGAGGAACAACATACTCCATATTAGTTTTGCTATTATTGAAGGTGAAACAACAGAAGTTTGTTTTTTTTTTCCTTAAAAACCATTTGAGACACGTTACACATCAAGAAAACTTGTGCTTAATTTCGGATCGTCATAACTTCATCAGTGCAACATTCAATAGATCGAGAAGTGGATACTCAAGGAAAGTGTGTGCATGTGTTTTACATTCGACACATTGCACAAAAGTTAACTCAAAGATTCAAAAATACAACTCTGAAGAAGGACCTTGTGAACATGGGTAAGTACTTAAAATTCCAAAATTTTATTCAATTATGTGTGATCTTCCATTATTCTTCGTTATATTTAATGAGTATTACTTTATAATTATATTTGCCGCATACGCAATGACTGAGCCAAGATGTAACTATTACTACAATATCATAAGGGAAGAGAACCCGGAAGCAACAACTTGGATTGACCAAATTCCAAGACATCAAAGGGCACTTGCATATGATGAAGGCAGAAGATGGGGTCACCTCATAACTAATATGGTCGAAGCTATCAACTCAGTCTTAAAGAAAACAAGAAATTTACCAATCTCCTTCATAGTATTGGTCACATATACTAGATGCAAAACCTTCTTCACAGAAAGAGGGAAGCACATAACTGCAATGATAAGTGTTGGTCATGTCTATTATAAAAATGTCGCCAAGGTCCTACAAGATGGTGATTCAAAATCAAATACCCACACGGTGATTAAATTTGATAGAAATACAACAAGATTCAGAGTGGAGGAAATGGTCAACCCAAGAGAAATACGTCCTCTAGGTACATTTGTTATTAGGTTGGATGAACGATGGTATGATTGTGGGAAGTTTCAAAAAATTCATATACCGTGTTCTCATGTGTTAGCAGCTTGCAATCATGTCAATCATGACTTCAACATGTACATCAGTCCCCACTATAGGTTGGATGTTGTCATGAAAGTGTATGACCATATGTTTGGGGAGCTAAGACATAACAATATTGGTTATCATATGAAGGCCCACAAGTTTCGCCAAATCCAACCACGAGAATGAGTTCAAAAGGTCGGCCCAAATCAACTGGAATTAGGACATTAGGGAAGGAGGACACCCATGAAAGTTTTCATACTATAAAACATTAGGGCACACAAGAAATCATTGTTCTCACAATCCTGACATTAGAAGATTCATATTTCATCATTAATTGTATTAAAATTTTGTACATTCTTTCATCCATTCAATAAAAGTTCTATTCACTAACATCTTAATTTTTTTTTCTTTTACATTATAAATATATATTTCATTTAGTCTAAACATATTTTTGAAAGCAATGAGGGGGAGATTGATGGAAATGTTCCTGCATTCCCAAGAGATGATTTTGATGATGATTCAAGTCAACTACATTCAAGTCAACACCATTCAAGATGAATTTAAGGACAAGCTGAATTTATGACGTAGGTGATAAAGATGATGATTCAAGCAAGCCCAAGATGATTCTTGAAGACTAGATAGAGTCTTAGAATACTGGATATGAAGATACAAGTTGATGAAGTAATATTATGCATAAGCCTCCAAAGCACAAGTGTGATAAAATTCATAACATGATATTTTTCACTGTCATAATTAATTATGATGCACCAGAAATGGAAAAATGATTTTCTCTATCATAATTAATTATGCTGGTAATATAATCAATTATGGAAATTCAAATTTGAAAAATATATCCGTTTTAAACAATAAATGTTTTTGAATACATCCTGATTTTCTCTATGATATTATTAATGTCCAACAACCATTTTCTAATGCTATTTTTCTATTTAATTAAGTTTTGATGAAAAATCAAAAACACACAATTACAGAATTCAAAAATACAATTTACATTCAATCAGTTTTGAGAAAAAGAATTCTGAGCAAGGCAACAGAGATATTTTACACCTTTTGAGAAAACCCTCTTCTCTACTGTCTTCTGTGCTTTTATTGTTAATCACACTTGTTCTTGGAGATTGGCATTCTATAGGCTTCTACAATTTTTTGTCTCCATTACCCAGGTGTGTCTGTTCTTATTTTTATTACCTTCATCCTTTTTGCATTGGTGGAAAAGGAGGTGTTTTTCATCCCTAGTGTATTCTAGGGAGGAGTTCATCCTTAGTGGGATTCTAAGGAGGTGTTTTTCATCATTTGATTTGTTCAAAGGAGGTGTTCATCCCTAGTGGGATTCTAGGGAGGTGTTCATCCTTAATGGGTTTCTAAGGAGGTGATTGTCTTTTTAATTAGTTTACTTTTTACTGGTTCTTCTGCTGAGTTAATTGTAATTTGTAAACTGAATTTGAAAGATAGTAAATGAGGAGTCACTCTTGTGTTAAGAGTTGACTGGGAATTGGATGTAGGGTTGGCTATACCCGAACCAGTATAAATCTCTGTGTGCTCTTCTCTTTCCGTTATCTCTTTCTCTTTTCCTGATTATAGTATTGCTTTCACTTTAACAAATTATTGACTCACAAATAAATGTTTAATTTGACATCTATTTTAATTTGTTATTCACCCCCCTCTAGATGCCATTTGTCTAACAAGTGGTATCAAAGTTTGGTTAGATAAGATATTTCTAAACGATCTGTCAAGATGTCTATGCAGAATCAGGTTTATAGGGAAGGAACTTCAATAAACAGACCACCATTATTTGAAGGAGAAGACTATCACTTTTGGAAGGCGAGAATGGAAATATTTTTACAAACACTAGATTATGGTGTTTGGGATGCGGTACTCAATGGTCCCTACATTCCGATGAGAACAACAGAGTCTGGAGCTGTTCCAAAGACTTTTGATCAGTGGACGCCAGATGAAAATAAGCATGTCCATTATGATGTCAGAGCCCAAAATGCTATTGTTTCTGCCTTAACTCGTAATGAAGTTTTCAAGGTCTCACAATGCAAGACGGAAAAAGAAATATGGGACACTCTTGAAGTAACACATGAAGGAATAAATGAAGTAAAGCGAACACGTAAAAACACACTCATCCAGGAGTATGAATTATTTCAAATGCAGCAAAATGAAAGCATCACGAATTTCCAAACACGCTTCAC